GTCCACATACAAGCAGTCTTCACACATTTTCATGGTGTTTTTCTTTACATTAGTAATTCATATACTGCATGCGTTAAAGGATTAGTCCAACATTTGAGGATATATGCAAATCACTTCATTGCTTAGAATAAGATTCTAAAAAAATATTTAGTTTGTCTGGTAAACGTGAAGTGTTAGCTCAGCTTAGAACAGGATCTTGAAACATTGAGGGGTTAAAAGAGTCAGACTCTGTGCCAAGGTAACCCTAACCAGCAACCTAACAAGACTCCTTAAAGTCCTGCTCCTGTCCAAGATCTAGTCCAGCATCTTTATCATTTTTCAAAATGATCACAAACTACACATAAAGCAAGAGCACATGTGACAATCGGTGTGAGGCACGATTACACGTTTAAGCCTGTCTTATTAATTGGTAAGTTTTGTTGGTACTAGTAGTGGGACACATTTTACACTTTTTAACCCTGAGACAGAGCCAAGCAAGCATGTTTCCCCTGCTCCCTCTTTTTGTACTAAGCTTAGCTAGCTGCCTGCTGTCTCGAGCTTAAAATGTCCAGTACAGACATGAGAGTTGTATCCAGCATCTCATCTAATGAATGGGAAAAAATGGACTCCCTTTATTCCTTAAATATACTGTATTAATCGATATTTAGTGTTTTACATGAGGTAGGATACTCACTGCCCTCTAACCAGCTTGTCCGCTGGACAAGCGTGGATGCTGGAATAATCAAACTGAAGGTCATAGTTATCATAAATACACAAAGCCTATTTTCCTTTCTCCTCTGTTCAACAGTACCAACATATAAGACTCTGTCCTCAGACATATCATCAGAATAAACTATGACAGATCTGAAACTGCTTAGGTCCACTGAGACCAAATGTACTAACTGCCACACGGACCATGAAGGGATTAATTAAGGTGTTTCTGTCCCAGTTCTGTTATTTGCTGTTTTAACGTCATGACAAAATGCTTTTTGGCAGCAGAAGCTGCAGATTTGTAGTTGTGTAAATGTAGTCTGTGTCAATGTAAGTATGTAGAGTTGTAACTTCTACTAATCAGGGAAACTAATATAAAGCATGACTAATGTCACTCCTTTTATATAGTGTCAACTTTAAAAAAGTTAGTGTAAGACTTGTGGCAAGAACACGTATTCACTATTTTTTAAAGTTAATGGGAATTGTACAATCAATACTTCTGTAAATACCACGTGTGACTTTTATTTTGAAGATCTGGAGGACTAACAGTTTGAAGTGCCATATTGACATTTTGGGGGGAATTGTCTCTTACAGTATGAAGTCTGCTGTAGCTTTACTAGATTTCCATTCCCTGTCATTTTTTTTTTTTTTGCTGTAAAATAAAAAGCGTGTTGTTCTAAGAATTCACCATCTTAATAATGTGGTGTCAGTAGATAAAACGAGCTCATCTGTTCTCACTCTTGAATAAAGAAATCTCCAAATGAAGGTGTTCAGTAACCTTGTAAAAGTAAACAGTGTAGGAGATGGGAGCTCTGAGTCACCACATCCACATGTGGAAACAAGAAGAAGTCCTTGAAGATTTCAGAGAGTTTGAATTGACGTGTGGAGGCTTTTTGAGAGGGATTCATCTCAAGGTCACAGTCACATTGTATCCACTGTGATTCTGGCACCAGGGACTTTTCATAACTACAAACAGTTTGTGTGGATGATACAGTGTATGCGCTTGAAGAGGAAGAGCTTTTGATATTTTGACACTGAAGTGATGGTTGACATGTTTGTCTGGTTTCTTTTATTCCTGCACATCAGTGGGTGATCAGCCGAGCCTCTCCATCTTCTCCTGAAGGGGCACAGCTGATACTTTCTTAGAGTGACACCTAGTGGATGAACATGTTATTACAGCCCCCCAATGGTGAACGTCAACAGTCCCATCCCCAGCTCGTCATATATTGATGATCGGTCAGGACACCTTGGCGTCAGTGATGATCGACGCAAAGGGATTCCCCTTAGGCGTCTATTTGCGACGCGGAGGGTCGCCCCATATACTTCAACACAATGCCCAAAACGCCGTATATGTAGATCGTGGCCAGGCCATCCAGCTCGTAGCAGCCTGATCAATATGGAAATAAAAACAATGAAATACACATGTATCAAATTGTAAGCCTTTTCTTCAGTGAGTTGAGATCACAACAGATTGAAACGTTTAACGTGATTTAATTATATTCGCCCGCATTTTCCTTTTTTCGAGCTGAAGATTACCGTCGGTACACATCGGGGTTGCCAGGTCCAATATTCCCACGCCGAACTGCAAAGCTGATCTTAATGGCTAACCAGCTGAACAGTGTACAGGGAGGGATAGTGGACAGGTAAGTATGATGTTGAACTCTAAAGGGAGTGCAAAAATAACGCAAATGCCTTTACTTTTACCTTTTGATATTGGACTGTTTGGCTTGTTTGTCAAATACCTGGCAACCAGACGCGCGTTGACTATCTATTACAAAAAGTATTTGGCCAGACCGATGGCTTTTATAACAGATTTAGAGTTGCAGGTTAGTTATATCCCAGTGTGAGGTAAGTTATTAAATCACCTGCTGCATGTATCCATGCCATAGGTTAGCTGGCTTTATCCTTCTCCACGCAATAACCCGTGAAGAGAGCAATATTAAGAGATAACTTCAACTACTTTTAATACTGAGCCGATTTTCAATTACAAATAAGGCTATTTAGAGTTGTAATTGGTCAAATATAACGACGGATGATTAGGGCCGTGTTAAAAAGAATAATCTGGTAAATTAACGAGTGAGACCAGCCTGCGCGAAAATGATGAAAGTAACTCTAAAAATAACAGATCAAACTCAAAAGTCAAGGGTAATATTTAATAATTCTGCTCTGTCTTAAAAGATGATTTGACGTATTTCATTTATTTGATTACGTTTAGCCCTGTCACAAACCCCTTGATGTGTGCGTAAACAAGAGCTGCTGAGTTGTATCACTGCATGAAGAAATGATAGGCTAAACAAGTAAGGGACAGAAAGCCATGTCACATCATGGTGTATACGTTTACATACCCCATAAAACGAGGGGAACATGAATAAATAGCCTATAATGTGTCCTTTTTTTTCTTTGGTGAATGCAAAGCGCGTATTGATTATGTAGAAGCCTAGGCCGGTTATATTTCCCCAAGTTGCATGAACATAGACGTGATTTTATGTTTCTTTTTGCCAGAGCTGATGAGGTTTGTCACCTCAAAGGCATCCAAAAGAAGGAAGTAGGGTTAATTTGTGTCGGATCACTGATGAATTACGGATTGTCCAATGATACTCAGACCTTTCTGCCACCAGCAGAGATCTCAGAGAAGACATCACAGTATTAACTTCAGAGAAGCCCTGTGCGTCTCTGACAACAGCATTCACCATTTCTGAACACGGGCCAACACAACAGTAAGACTTTTTCCATTTACCGTGAGTCAGTTCAAATTTTGGATACATCTGATTAAGAAACATTTCTTCAAGCTTGAAGATTTGAAAGCCGTTTCCTTCACAATCTAGAAGAAGACAAAAAGAAGTGAAAAGTAAGTAAAAGTCTCAAACTTCATACTTGACATATGAACTTGTTGCAAATCCCTGTTTGACCTCGGGTTTGTCATCAAACATTTTTGAAACGAAATGTAATTGAATTAATTTAGCTGAATGAAAGCGTCTATTAAGTGTTGTATATTGTTGCTGAGTAATGACATGTCTTTTTTTTAAGTGGTAGTACATCATTTCTATTTAAAAGAGTGTCACTAATGATTTTACCTCCATGTCTTTGTCCTTTTTTCAGTGAATCAAAGGGAAAATTGTTATAAAAGACCCGTTGCATCCAAAACCTTCATGACTTGGCAATTTCATGACGGGACCCCTGTGAGGTGACAAACCAGACTTTGACTCAAGAGTCTATGAAAACTCAGGAAGCACCTTGTTCATGTTGTTGGAGGGAGCAGGTGCATCCCTTTATGAAATAATTATGACAATAAGTAAGTACCCCCTCTAACCCTTAATCAGTTGATAAATAGAAGAAAAGTTTCACGTATATATTTGATCTATTATCAAGCTCTAAACATTTGGTTTGTTTCTGTCTGCAGCTGAAACATCAAGCAGCTCATTTTGGAAGGTCATCTGTGCTATCCTGCTCATGCACTCCTACTCCTGCTTATGCTCCTGCTCATAGGTTATGGTTAGTGACCCTCAATAGTGTCAGGGCCCATATTCATCAAGTCATATTTTGGTTTAATAAATGTGGATCCTTATCTGTGAAGGTAAATCAATCTCAAAACCAAGGTTTAAATTTCTAAACCAAAAACTAAAATGATTGATTTAAATTGATCATCTCACAAAAAACATGGAATGGGGTTAACCTTAAGCTGTGTACACACCAAACGCAAATTTAATTTGTCGCGCTACAAAAGTACGTAGAAAGTTAATGGAATGATGCAAAATCATGTTGTGTGGCGCGATGGACCCGTCGCGCGATGAAATGGACGCGAAATTCGGCTTCACGTGAGTTCAACATATATTCAACTTCAGCGACAAATTCGCTCCGCCACAGCGAATCGGCATTGATGGACTAGTGACGTCAGATAGATCGACACTCATTTCTGTTTTTCGTGTTTTCATATTTGTCGCTTGAGTGACTCTTTGCTGTTGAGATTTTCACAAAACGATAGTGTTTTGATCTCCTGTTTATTCAACTCTATGGGGAGTTTTTATTAGTTTGCCTTAAAGAAGTTCAATCATTGTGTCGTAAACTTAAAGGACAAGTAAATCAAATTAAATGAAAATGATGGCCGATTTACATAAAGCTGCTTCAGTTTCAGGCTCCTGGTTAAGTACATGCTTCTTCAATGGTAACATTGTTAAAAGAACTGATTACTGGTCAAAACAGCTTCTTTCACAAAGGTCTTTATAAAGGGAACACAGGTAACAAGTTAGAGGTGATTATGATAATGTAGGAACAGAGCTAACTCGTCTTCACTTTTCGTAAATCACCTTTTATTGGGGCAGGACATAAGAATCGTAAACGATGATACAAAATAATAAATAAGTTTAGACAAAAGTCAAACTAACAAAAGATAAAAGTCAGGAGAAAAAACATGAAGTTCAACCTCATAAGTCTCAACTGAATTATGATTACAGTTTTATTTTTCTGCACGTTTTACAGGTAAGTGACGCACCTTGAAAAACAAGTCACAGAAGCCAACTCCATATCGACAGCAAACCCGGGCAGTAAAAGTTATATGGTGCTTTTATATTTATGCAACATTAAGTGTTACTGAAGTAAACGGTTGAATGGAAAAAACTTTGTTGGACCAGTTTTCCCAAATTGTCCACAATACTTCTATTTATAATCAAACAAAAACAACAACTATCTGCAGATGTAAATGGCACCATATAGGTAAGAAACGACCAAAGCCCTGTTTGCATGTCCTTTGAGCTGGTGTGTGAGGTTTACAGTATCAAAATACACTTAATAACTTGTAGTTCATTAAGACATGTTAGTATGAATGCAGCAGTGTTATAAGAACTGAAACACCGGCCACTAGAGAGCACCACATGTTCACATGTTCACTAGCATCAATATGATATGCTAACAGCAGCTGGGAGCCAAACAGCTGCATTAAAACAGCTGCTTGCAATTTTATTGGCTCAGGTTTGACAAGGTAAAACTTTACATGTGAACAGGATTGAAGATTTTATCACATCCTAATCTCATTCAATTAAATAAAATGTGTAGTTACCTACTTTTTCTGTTGTTGTTTATTGTGTGGGCTGACAACAACAATATAAAACACTTGTTTGGAGTCAAATGTAATTTTCCTGTTGCTGAAGATGTAACCTCCATGTTTAATTCTACACCCAAGATGTTGACACTTCCATGAAATTCTTCAATATTTTATTTAAAGCTTTCTCAAGTGGATATTTTAGTAATTGTTGTTGACCTTCATCTCCTTGTAAACTGCCCTTCAAGCACTTTCTCTTTATAAGCTGTCAGTAGTAGGTTATCTTATACTTCAGTTTGCTAGTTTGGAAAGACATGCCCCTGCAACTTGAGCATGTGACCCTTTTTGTTTCTCAATTTGTTATATAAGTAACCAGCTAGCCTGCTTGTCTAATGTCAGTTGATGAAGTTGTATTGCCTTTTTTTTTTTTTTACAATTGGCAATAAAAGATTGTCAATTTATCTACTTTATTGTCCTCTAAAGACAGATTTTTGTTGGACTGGTTCACACAGTTATGCAACCAAGACAGTGTAGCCAGGGGCGTTGCCAGAGGGGTGACTAGGGCCCTCCCCCCCTAGAACCTTGATTGGGCAGCCAATGTGCCACTTCCCAAATCCAAAACTTGGATTGGTTATTTGCCCTGTCAGAGGCAGGACTTACACTATGTTAAAGCCAACTATAAGGTTTCTTGTGTAAAGGCTGTTTTTTTTTTTTTTTTTCATATCGATTCAGCATTTTTATTTTGTACTTTAAATTGTACCAAAAAAAATGTGCATTGGAAAGTAATGCACATTGTTTTACTTGCATAAATTAACCGACAATGTGTCAGGACCAAAATATTGCAAGTTAGACAGTGCAGGAGTTTGCATGCACTTTTTTAAGTAGCCTACTTAAATTTTGACGTAAGCTAATGTTGCCGTTAGCTCGTGTTATAAAATAGATATGGTTGGTGAAGTTAAAAAGGGTTAATAATTGATATTTATTTGTGCAGGTTTGTGCACACATCACACTTCAGGCCACCCCTGCATAAGTCTTAACTTTGCAGTAAATAAAGATTTAGGCTCAAATGAACGAGGAATACAAACTCATGTAAATGTAACAATAAACTACCCATTGTTGCATTAACGTTTTAAAACACAGCTTGAGAAGAGATAACTCCAGGCGAGATTTAATCAACTATAATCAATGTTTTTGCATTGACAACAGATTAGGACTACTTTTTGCTAAAAGAGTACTTAACCAACACTTCTCTGTGTTTTACTCTCAGCACTCAAAAGCGTTATTTTCAGATGCAGTAAACATTATTTTCAGCTAAAACTTAAAAAAATCTAACTCCACACTACCTGTTCAGCACAGAACAGCAGAAAGACACAGTTGGCAACTAACTTGTGAGCAGAAAGCGAGAATTTAGCAGATAAAGAGAGTGTCCCTAAGAAGTCCTTGGTCACAAAAGAAAACAGTGGAAAACGTGTGAAACGAGAGAACATTTGACAAACACTTAATCAGTCGTCCAAACACAGGACTCCAATTGAATGCTAGGCGAGCTCCCTGTCAGCTAATTGCAAGTTAGCTAGCTATTTTTTAACAACTCAAAACGCGTCTGTTTATGCATGTATCACAAACAGTATAAGTGCTGAAAGCTGCTACTCTTATTGTATTCTCAGTGTATTTTCGTGTCACAAACAAAAGAAACAGTTTTAGCAACTTCTGGGCGTCTAAGTTTGTTTGGACATTTTGTATCCCGCTGTAGCTTTACTTCGCTAAACGCAACAGGAAGTCACTGTTTATACCTCTTTAAATCTAGTTAGCATTATCAGCAGAGAGGGAATCTTATTTGTCATATAAGTCTTATTATATTTCTGAGTAGTTGCTGCTTAGAAAGCTTTTGCTAATACTTCTTTTAGTTAAGTAACATAACAAGCCCAAAACAGTTACTGTTCATAAGTGCAGGTGATGTTGATGTCAGTTTGATTGTATCCAGCTTATAATGCTTGGTGCTAAATAATGAAAGAAATAACGCTTCCCTGCATGGTTATGAATAATTTTGCAGCTTAACAGGAACAGAGTGCTCACCAGTTATTTAAAAATAGACCTGTTATTAAAGAAAAAAAACATTGTTATTCTGTGCTGTCCCTGTTTGGAGTACACGACGGTGTGACTGGTTACATGAAACACAGCCCATAGAAAGCATGTCAGTAGATACAATTCTTCAGCTCATACACTCTCACTGCACTCTCACTCTCTCTTCTGGGGTGAATGGCAGCTTTGTTTCAGCTGTCAGGAAACATTAAACTGTGCTCCCGTAAACAAACATCATGGTGGAGAAATGGAAATGAGTGGCCCCTCCAGCAGCCCCACAAAGGATGAACCATTCGAAACATTTTCCAAATCCCAAATTTATGGGTGCTTTAAGGTGCAAACAAGTTACTTGGACTTGGCTTTCTGTTTTGGGGCAGGTGCAGCAGCTGGTGGTGCTGGTGCAGCTACTGGTGCAGGTTTAGCAGCGGGTTCAGGGGCAGAGGAAGGTCTTACTGATTTTATCAGACCAAGGAACCTGCGTCAAACCAGACACAGTATGACAAGTCAAAAGAAAATCTGTTAATTTAACATACACATTAGTATGATATCAAGAGCAAATAAAAGAGGGGCAGACAATGAATGGGTTACTTACATGTTTTTGATTCTTTTAACAAAAGCTTTGACCCCTCTTACCATCCTCCTTATCCGCAACTGTGACAGAAACGACAGAAAGGTCAGTGTAACCACAGCATTAGTGTATCATATATGGTTTTTCTTATTTCCCTCCAGAAAAAAAGACCTTACATTCTTCCTGATCACTAGTGAAATCACTATTTGAATTGTGTACATTTTCATCGGTTTCTTTCCCACTATAACAAAAACTGTCTATAGTTTCTCTGGTTAACAAACAGTCAAATTAGAAAGAGCAAAACAGAACACAGCCCAGTCAGGACGTAACACTCACCTTCTGCTTTTTGTACAGAAGAGGAATGGAGAAAGCTGCAATTACAGCTGTGAAAAAAAGACAAAAGAGGAAAAATATTATGATAGTATTATCATATGATACATGTTGCTATACTATCATATGATTATGATAGTATAGCAACATGTATCCGCAGAATGAGGGCTTATTTTGGGAAGGAGAAATTACCTGTTATAACCAAAGTCAGTCCACTGGTAAGGACGCCAACATAGGTCAACAGATACAGGAGTACAACAAACTAAAATAAAGAGCAGATACACATGTTGCAGTAATAATTAAAAAAGAAATGTGTAAAAGTGTTGACTGCTGATCCTATTGTGAATCAAAATCACACTATATTGTATCTAATATTCCATCATCAAAATCAGACCTTAACTGAGTCGATAATGCTCTCGATGAAAAGCAGGCGTTTGATCTCTGTGATGGCGAATGCAATCAGCAGCACCAACTCCTCCACCAGCATCACTGTCTCCTTTTCTGTCAAAGAGCTGTCATTATCCAGGTAAGACCTGCAGAGAGGGACACACATATACTGTAGAGTCACTGAGAGTATAAGTGCAGACGTGTTCAGTGGCAGCTTCTTGTTTGAAAATGTTCCTGTGATTTCTTACTCATAGTAGACAGACTCACTGGAAGGGGTGCACACCAGCGTTCCAGCGCAGCATCTCCAGCAGTTTATAGTAGAGGCGGAGGAAGAAGGTGACACTCATGACACCAAGACAGACGTGTGAGAGCACCGTGATGGCACTAAGCTGGAACACGCTGGCCAGACCGATCACCAGCCCCGTGAACACCACACCGGTCCTCCTCATGTTCCGCCAATACACCAGATCCACAACTGGACAATATGATAAACACAGTTCAGAATGATTTTACGACTGACAGAGGGGAACGATTAATGATCGTCTTATTCATTCTCAGTCAATCTCAGTTAAGTAAGGTTCCTCCATGATCGATAACATTATGTTGAATGTCGTTTTTTATTCTAATGACGATAGTTTTTATTCTGAATGATCTCCCAGCGAAGCAGTGTTTTTATCTTGTTGCTCATTTCTGCATCATCTTATTTAAATCACAATGACTACATGACACACGGCATGACAGAAAAATAAAAGGACAAAGTTCAGCACTTAACAGAGGGAGAAAAAAATCCCCACTTGTTGATTTTAACAGTTTTAGCATACAGCATAAATCTCGCCTTCAATATAAATTCAAGGCAGCTGCATCTTACATCGGACTCTTTTCTCGTAAAAGAATATATTTCAGGAATGGAACTTCTGAACTTATGCACTGCTTTTAATAATTCACATTTCTGAATGAATAATAAATCAAGGAACAATTAAATGATGAGTCACACTATGATATCCCAATCTCTTAAACATCACATTAGACTCTTTGCATCGAGTGTGAATCTCAAGATAATTTACTGATTAAATCAAACACACATACATTAGTCATCCATGAACACACAAGTAAACAAGCTTCCATAATCATCTTTCCAGGCTTATTTATACATGGTAATATTTTATAGGTTTTTTTTAATATTGCAAACTTGGACTGCACACTCGAGGTAAATAAGAGCTACTCATACTTGTGTTGCTATAGTACACCTATGAAGTCATTTCCCAAGCATGGCATGACCATAACCCAACACTTATTCAAACAACAACAAGAATAGATAATCAAAATAGCTCTCACAAGAAAACACACATCAATCTTATCTTATTGGACTTTAAAGAATGAACCAGACATTATTCCGTCAACATTTGGGTCTCATTTAGTCGAGTCCAAGTCCTTCCATCTGTCCACAGAATGAGAGACATGCTGCACTCAGTGCTTGACTGCTCATCCTGTCAGCATTCACACCTGCCCAGCCGAGAGGAAAAAATAAATCTACAGCTGCACTCTGACCAACTCTCTGTCTCTTCTAATTCTCCTTACTTAAAGCTGTCTGTGTTCATTTCCTTACATTTGTTTGCCATTTCAGCTGCAGTCCTGCCCGCTCTCCTCTCCTCCTTCACTTCCACTGTCGGCTTCAACTCAAGGCTTTTTTTGGCCACACAGCCTGGTCAGCAGTATAAGGCCTGGCTGGCCTAATTTTATCCTGTATTGGATACCCCCTGTTTGGATTCTGTTTGGAACACACACACTCACACACACGCACACATACACACAAGCACACACAGACACTCAAATTGGGAACCTGAGACATCAGCATGTACTTTCAGAGACTCTCAGGGTTCCTCAGCCAGTTGGTGGCTGACCTGCACCTAGAGTCCTCACATGCAGCCAGGTCAGAGAAAGAAACAGGTTTTTTATTTCAAATTTCAACAAGTCAGGGTCAATCAGGAAGAAGAAGCATGCCTCAGGTACAAAGGCCTTCTTTCTGCAGGGTTCAAGAATAATTTTAATTTCTCTGATGACACTTGAAGAGATGTTTAGAATTAAACCGGGAACCACTCACACCTCAGAGTCTCAAGCTGCAAGATGCATATTGAATCCGACCCTTTTTGTTTTTGACATTACCGTAGAGGTAGCTATTCCCACATGGCTGGTTTATGTGTTCTGTGAAATGCAGAAAAATTATTGTACAAATGGTAACTGTCACACTCGCCTTTCACACATTCACGCACAAGTGTCATGCAAGATCAGTAATCAGCTAACAATTCTCACACATTCAAGCACTAGAGGCTATGCCTTCTTGAGCAATAAAGTGTTCAATATCTTGCTGCAGGAAAACCATAACTGTCTTTATCAACATGTAGCCAGGAGGAGCTGAATCACACTGCCAATCATCTCATAGGAGGGTTACCCCACTATACCTCCAAGCCCACAGCCACCATGGAAACAGGTACAACAAGCTCTCTCAGGCATTTTTTCCCCCGCTTGATCACAGAAGAAATACAGAGAAATACAGAGAGTGGTGATGTGATCGTGGTTGATTTCACACATTTAATCAGTTATTTGGGCAACAGTGCCAAGAAATGCTATAATTAAATTTGTGGTGACACGTATAATCATGCAAAACCCAAAATCACATTTCTGCTTGTTCAAACAGAATAAACAATTAAGACATGGTACAAGCCTTATGCCACAGGCTTATAAAATAATTAATCTTTACTCAGAACCAAACAAACAAAATCTGTAATAAACTTATCTGGACAAGATGAGATTTTGATAAGCCATTAACAAAGATTGTGGAAGAACTATTCAGTCAAAGGCTTTATGTTTTTGTCAGTCACTAAATAACTAAAACAATACAAACACAATTACAGTCCAATAGATTTGACAGATATAGCTAAACATATATCCACAGCCTACAGTAGATTCGGCCATCTCTCAACCGGTGGTTTGATCCCCAGCTCCCTCAGCCACAGCAGTCAAGTGTGTCCTCGGGCAAGACACATATGCAGCATATGAATGTGTATGAATGGAGTTAGTTAACACTGATGGTCACTTTTCATAGCAGCCTCTGCCACCAGAGTGTGAATGGGTAGATGTGACCTGCCTTTGTCAAAGTGCTTTGAGTGGTCAGAAGAAATGTGCTCGCTGAAAATATAGTGCTTTTGAGACCAGTGACTTATAATAAGGAATCCATCGATTTTTGATTTGATGTTTAGGTGGTAGATTGATTGAATACGCTATATAAGTCAATGAAATGTGATTCAATGAAATATGACAACTTTTGTATTGTAATGACTGTTTTAATCAGATAACTTTTCTCTCTACTGGTCACCTATGTTACCAGATTAAAAAAAAGTGTAATAATGAAATACCAATCTCCTATTAACCTCTTACAGTCTACAAAGACATAACATTTAGTATAGAACATAATGAAACCATGCTGTATATGATGGCATCCTCTCCTTCTCTAAAATTGCTCTCAACTGACTTCGGCCTCCTCTTTCTTTTTAAACTGTTTTACAGGATCTCTTCTCTGCCATAAGAGACCCTTCAATGAAAAGACCACATAAGAGTGCTTGATGTTATATCATCAATAAGTGATGCAATCCAAACTAATTTGCAGTACTTTAATCTCATTGAAATATTGCTCTATAAATGCATTCATGCAATCCAGTTCAATATATGATATGTAACTTTACACTACAGTGGGTTTTAACATAATGGCTTCAAACTAGTGAGGTTTCACTTTAATAATAGGATCTATTTGAAAAACTGCAGATAAAGGCTCACAGTACATTATCTTTCTGCACTTTGATCATAAGCCTTCTTCTTCTGTTTCTTCTCATCACAAAATCAGCCACACACTGCATGTTAAATGGCCGACAGGCCCGTAATCCACAGCAGTCGCAGCCCATAATCCTGACTGATCAAAGGCTGAGATTACCAAAGAAGTGGGAGGGGTGGACAGAGAGAGATGGTGAGCTCAGACATGACAGAGGCGATGCAAGCCAGGCAGGGATTGGTGCACACAAATAGCCAGCCAATCAGAGTATAGGAAGGGGGAAAATAACAAGGCAAAGGGAGAGCTGGTGAAACAGGGACTAGCAATGAAAAAGCGAGGGAGAAAGTGAAATCACAGCAGCACAGAGGAGAGACCTAACAAGGAGGAGAGCAAGGATGAGTGAAGGAGAAAGTGCTGAGCAGTGAGGTCTCCAGAGAAGAAGAGGAGACGAGAGGAGATGAGCTGGGAGAGGAGGGTGAGCAGCCAGCACTGAGAACATCCATCAGCTCAGGCAGCCATGCTCTGAGCCCTGGAGCAGCAGGGCTACGCAAATACGGCTCAGGCCTACCATCAGGCCTACATCAGTCCTCCGTCCCAGCCACAAACAGCAGGGCAGGGATAGAAGAAGACTCGCCTCACATCAGCTGTGCATCAGAGCCATGAGGACAGCCAGGAAGGGCAGCGTCGAGATGCCTGCTTTCATGCGGCAGCTGGTTAAAGAGACCGAGAAGAGGGTCAGCTCTTTCTTCAAGGGGGGACGTGGAGGAGCAGCAGAAGGGGATCATCCAGGGGAGGGGGAGAAAGAGGAAGTCATCCCCAGTCCTTACCTAGACCGTCCTGTCCTCGACAAACTAGCAGAGGAGGGCTGTGCCCGCTGGGGTCTCACCTACGCCCTGGGGAGCATGCAGGGCTGGAGGGCCAACATGGAGGACTTCCACAACTGTGTTCCACAGCTGGGAGGACAGCTGGCTGACTGGAGCTTCTTCGCTGTATTTGATGGTCATGCTGGAAGCACAGTGGCACAGTACTGCTCCCAGCACCTTCTGGGTCACATGCTGGCCACAGGTGAAAGAGATGCAACTGGGAATGCCTTATTGTTATATAAAAGATTGTACATTGTTGTTATATTTCATAAAATAATGCAATTTACTGATCCTTTGTAATCATGCTGGGTTGTGTTTAAGATATTTTATTCTTGAAACTGTTTTCTTCCTGATGAAACGATTATTTTCCCTTATCAGACATTTAAATCATGACTGATCATTTCCCAATGTTTTCTGCAAATATGTATCCTATTTCGTGTTTTTATGGGCTGCTGGATGCAAAAGTAACACTGTGTCTGTTTGTGCACACAGGTGGATTGGTCCCAGAAGACGACCCCCTAAAGGTGAAAGGAGCCATCATCGAGGGCTTCCTGCAAACAGACAAGCACCTGCATTCAGTGGCACGTCGAGAAGGTTGGGAAAGGGGTGGCACCACTGTGGTATCCACTCTCATCTCACCGTATTACATCTACTTCGCCAACTGTGGTGACTCGAGGGCCATGCTGTGCAGGTCTGGGCAAGTTTGCTTCTCCACTGAGGACCACAAACCTTACAGCCCTTTTGAGAAAGAGCGAATAGAAAGCGCAGGCGGCTCAGTGACCGTCCAAAGGATCAATGGCTCCCTGGCAGTGTCCCGTGCTCTGGGGGACTTCAGCTACAAGGCAGCCGAGAACAGGACGCCCAGCCAACAGATGGTGTCACCAGAGCCAGAGGTGTGTGTGGTGGAGCGTTCACCCGCAGATGAGTTCCTGGTGCTGGCCTGTGACGGAGTGTGGGACACCATCAGCAATGAGGACCTGTGCGCCTTCATCCACAATCGGCTGCGTGTCTGCACTGACCTGAGAGATGTCTGCACTCAAGTCATTGACCTTTGTCTCTACAAGGTCAGAAGCTGCATCCAGAATTCAGTGAACATGTTAAATGAATTGATTTAATTACAAAGTGACCCAGCAACTCATGCATGTCTACATGTGAAGTCATTTAAATGGCAAATCTGTTTAGTTGATTTTATCACTTTAAAACTTTATTTCCCAGTAAATCTATGTTATATCATTTTTAAGGGGCTGTGGATTTTATGTCACAGTTTAAGGGATTAACGTAATCCTTTATAGTGTAACTGTGTTGACTTCATGCTTGGGTCACTCCACTCTCGAAAAAAGATCTCTCCTTTATGACAATAACTGTGGGGCTGCTTTAGTTTGACCATTACTAAACACTGGTTAAACTTGATCTACATACATGTATAACTTTCACACAGTCCTGGAAAACCCCGGTCAAGGCACAACTTTCTGTCTCTAGTAGTTATAAGAAACTTTCATGGGGGGCGCTGGTGGCGCAGTGGTTAGTGCGTGCGCCCCATGTATGGAGGCTGTAGTCCTCGAGTTTGTTATATTGTTTGTCTACACATGACTGTTGGAACTGTTATGAAATTCTTCTATTTTGGAAGTTTAAGTTTATCAAAACGTTCTTTTTTATCTAAAAAGAACGTCTTTTTTCGCTGTTATGGTGAAGTTGTTTACGAAAAGTAGCTGATTTCCTCAGGCATCAGTGTCTGTTTGATGTGAAGCTGAAAATGACACAAATGAGAGTCTTGATCATGAACATTAACGTGTTAAGTTTTGAGCTTGGAAACAAAACAAGCTGAAAGTCATTATAATAAACTGTTTAGGTAACTATGTGCACACCCTTGGCTGTGGCTCAGAGATAGAGTTGGTAGTCTCTCAAACAAAAGGATTGGGGTTTGATACCCAGCTCCTGTAGGTGTCCTTAGGTGAGACGCTTTCAGAAACGGTTTTGCACATGATGGACAGCGCCCCAAAAAATGACAACTCAGGACTGACACACCTAACCGAGGAGCTAACTAGCCGTCAGCATACTAAACCTCAATTTGCTCCTGCTGCTTTGTCGGTGGTGTGTGAATGTATAAAAATAAAATAGTTATACTGATGGTCACTTTACATAGCAGCTTCAAGATCAGTGCGCGAATGGGTCCAGTAACCATGTACCTTAAACTCTTCATATGGGATATCAGGTTAATATTTAAACATTGATTAAAGGCACTTTAAGCCCACCGTTCCTCTAGCCGCCTTCGTCTCTAGTACACTGTGGCCTCTGTTCATGATCTAAAAGTGTGACAGATCACCTTATATTAGACTGAAGAGGTGTCAGAACCGGTTTTATTGGATTATTCTGGATTCCAATGAAGACTCATTTCAGCCTCTTTCACTCATATAGAGTCACACAGTTGACGGTTGATAGTCAAAAACACATAATTGCTTGTTGTAGCATCGTTATGTGTTACATAGAGAATCATTTCAGACCAGAAAGGGAGAATAACATTTCATCACAACAAGCTCCAGTTTATTATAGCTGGTAGAATGAATGCTGTTTAATGAAGACACTAAACACTAAACATATATTGTCGGTAAAATAAGAAAATTGTTTGGAGAAGAATACTTCAGCTTTTGTCTTGTATGTTGTCCCTAAAATTGTACATGTTAATGCATATATTCTACCAGATAAGTGATACAAATTCCCTTATTAGTTCATATTCTGTTTACAATTACGGCTCACAGAACCCATGGAAGGGGTAAATACGTTTTGTTTATTGTTTATCTTGAGTCACATTAGAGCACACCAGGATACACACGGGCCACATGTGCACACTGTCCTCTGTTTGGCTATCATGTCTATCATGCCCCTCTTATGTAACTGGGCTTCAGCCTGGATATGCTCAATGACCTCAAAATGTCACCGCTTCTTCCACACTCCACTTGTTTCTTCCTGCTCCGCTGCGTCTGTGTGACAGTGCTGCACAAACCTGGGGGTGAAAATGATGTATTTCTAAATCTGTTCGCCCCGGAATGAAATAATGTTTGCTATGTTGACATTTGTAAGGTCAGCCATCATTACTCACCTCTGCTGACGCCGTTCTGCTCCACAGGGCAGCCTGGACAACATCAGCATCATCCTGCTGTGCTTCCCTGGAGCCCCCCAGCTGTCAGCAGAGGCATTACACCAGGAGGCCGAGCTGGAGGACCTGCTGGAGTCCAAAGTAGCAGGTGTGTGAGGTGTAGGTGACACACAAAGACCACTCAGGACTATGCACGGTCATCTTTAGCATGTGGAACCTTTTTTTTTAATTAAAGTTTGATGATAAAACTCTGACACTTTTATGATTTCTGGAGGTCTGTGTTTTGAGATTACTGCCTCCGCTTGCACTCTTTAAAGAGGGCATCCAGCCTTCAAGATCTTCATTTACTTTTACAATTTATCAAATATAATAACAATGAAAACTTCCTTTGAAATTAATTATCCTAACGTTAAATATTCATATTAGAAGGTTATTTTATTCTTGTCAACATAATTCCATGAAAAATCCTAAATCAAGATTGAATAATTATTCTGACCATAAACATTAATGGCTGTCAGCAAAATCATTTTTGCATCAGTTTATGCATTTTTTTTTTGTTAGAGGATCACTGGCACTGTATTCTTATGTCATCCCTTAGTACTGAATTTTGTCCTGATTCTGTAAATATTGCAAAACTAAATCACCCCAATAAATTCCTAGTCTAGCCCTATTTGTGAGAAATTTGCTAAATACTAAAGTTTTTTTTTATAAATCGTTATTATACTGTTGCATTTTGGAACTTTGCAGGCTTGGCTGTATTAATGGTACTCGAGAATTACTCAAGTCCCATTCTTTAAACTGTATGTGAAACTTCCAGACACTTTAAACATGATTAAATGTTTTTGTTTTCATGTCCAACAGAGATTTATGAAGAGCTGTGTGCCAGAGGTGAAGATCCAGACTTGTTGTCAGTGCTCACTGTCCTTGCATCCGCTGTCATTCCTGGACTACCACCAGGAGGAGGCATACAGAGCAAGTAAGAGACACAGATGAAATGTTTGTGTGTGTGTGTGTGTGTGTGTGTGTGTGTGTGTGTGTGTGTGTGTGTGTGTGTGTGTGTGTGTGTCTCCTCTCTGTAGTTGAATTGAAGTCCTGGGTTCTTCTTTTTATTACAGAAGAAACTGCATTATTTCTGCTTACTACCAACAAAGAGAGATGCACAACCCCACACTACCAAATGTAAGTAAAGCTACACATAAATCCAATTCTAACCACTAATGTAGAAGTTAAGTTATTGCCTGATCCATGAACATTTGTCACCTGTATTTTCTCTTTGACATGTCTGTCTAGGGCCTGTGAGGATACTGAGCAGGCTGCCTGGGATTTCATCTCAAGGGTTCCATGGAGGGACTTTAATTAATGTCGATATTAAAAGTGTTTTCTTCATGTGTGCAATTTAACAAAAAGGGAGATTATTTATAGAAACCGTTGCCAGCAAGCAGCATCTTGTTGTAATGAATGCAAAAATAGGTGTAGGCTAATGAAAGCTTACATTTTATATTTCTAATAGAAGAAGATTTTGTAAAACTATCTCAGAGAAACTGATCCAGCAACAAACCTCTGCCTCATATTCAATGAACAGAAGCAACAGATGATCATTTCAATGAAAGTCTGTTAGATTTACAAACTACTGTGAAATGGCATATTTCTGTTGGATAGATAAAGTATATCAGTCAGTATATAAATAGTGTTATATTTTAAAGATGATGTGATAAGAATAGATTTAAAAGAGTAGAGTTTAAGAGTACTTTAATGTTTTTGATGATCAAAGTTTGCCTTTCCTCTACAGGAAGGAAAAATGTGTCAGTGCTAGCTAAACGCTAGCATGCAGCCAACATGTACCCATTTGGTTAAACAGGGAATGCTAACAGCTGCTCGGCTGATTGGAAAGCACAAATACTGTATCTCTTAGAGTGACAGACAAACAAGCACTCATTAAATGTTCAATTTTAGTAATTAAATCTTGACACATACTCACACTCAGTCCAGAAACAAATACATTTCATGCAAACTACTAATCCTCTTGAAGGTGGATTTTTACATTTAAAAGTGCTTGTTGAAGATAAACATGTAGAATAAGATTCACTTGGTCAGAGTGATGCTTGAAAAATTAGATTATAGGTCAGAATAATTTAATAGATTGTTTAAAAAAACAAATTAAAGCATGTCTCAGATTTCTTTGTGAGCAAAAATTTAACTAAATTCATCCAAAATCAAAAAAATACCCTAAAATCACTTTAACAGACCAATTAAAAAAAACATTCAAGTTCTACATATATACATTTATCTTCATATAAAACCATATTTCTAAAAATATTCTTCAATACAGTGTATATGAAATGTGTTTTTTCCATAAGTTGAATGATGTACTGTGATGCCTTATTCATATTTTATATTGATGATAAAACTAACAGCAGAACGGGTCAGAATATCTTCATTGTTACATTATCTCAGTGAGTCATTTCCTCTGTATAGACATTACATGTAAGTCATGATTGTTCCAAACTTAAATAAAGAATATTTGACTGATGACTTGTTGCAATATTTTTACCCAAATGAACGACTAAAGTCCTTTTCTTTTGAGCGAAGAAAGTTCCTGAAGCATGGTCACTAGAGGAAAAAGAATATTTAAGACCTCTAAGGATGAAGCATTTTACAGATGATGCATAATGGATTCAAATTGACTTTCTTGCAAAGTAAAGGATCTCCTCCAGCTGACCAAGGAGAGCCTGAATGTTGCGCTCTGCTGTGTTGATGTTATCCAGTTACTATCTGCACACCACTTATTGACATAAGGACATCCTTTTCAGGCCAGTTTGATTAGATGTGCTCCACTAAAAACCCTGGACCTCAACTCTTCCATGATTACCATGAATTTCAATGACCTGCATTGATGAAACAAGATGGGTGACTCGTGAGCAATCAACAAATTAAATACATCTCTTTTTCAGAGCTCGTGAGCTCCTTGAGAAGCACTGTTGAATACAAATGACATTTTCAGATCTTTTATAGATGCAGCTAGTGGTCTGAGAAGAGACTGTATATATTTGATTTAGTCCTGCGTGTTCTCTTTCATTGACAACCAGCGCACATCCACCATGTTTATTAAGGATCACAGAGGGAGTGTGTCGCTCTCTTAAATCAGCGTTCCTCCTTTAAGAGCTCCTTCACTGCTTCTTCCATCTGATTGCTTTCGTATGAGCCAATCACTTCAGGACATCAGACCCCTCTTAACGGTCGTGTTGAATTCTTTAAACTGTGGTCGTCTCGTTGCTCTCTCTTTCTAAACGGAACAAAATGTAATCAATTATTTGATGTCCTAAATCGATGCCTGGGGTCTACTATTTTGTACATAGAGTTCCACTGAAAAGAGGTGCTAACCGGAGAAAAGAGATTGGAAAAGAGTTTGTTTTTTGTCATACTAAGAGGATCTTACACAAGATTAAATAGGACATAATTGCTGTTAAGAAACTAGACGCCAAAGAAGTTTACACAAGACTAACATCTGTTTGGTGCTACCTATCTACACTGGTTTCCTGTAGGCGATTATTCATAATAGCTAAAGCCCCTACTCCACCAGAGAATCCATTGTGATGTCCGTAGCTCTGTCGTGGACCCTGATGAGCCGTTTCGCTCAGCTGTTTCTGCAGCAGAGCGAGAGACACCTTATTGGACACCATGAATTCATTGACAGAGATCATCTCTCCTGAAAGACGACGGCCCACGTTAACCCCATCGTTCACCGCTCCTGCCTCTGTCTCACTGTCACATACCGTCTCCACGGAACCCTCCGTGTAGCGGTGTTTTCCTGGGGCAGTGGGAGGAGATGGGCTGCACAGTGTTTCGTTTAAAGCGTTTTTGCCTGAGGTGTGCAGGCAGACGTCTTTGGTTGTGTTTTTTCTTGAGGGGGCAGAGGCAGCAGAGCCTCCAGCAGCTCGGTGCGGAGCAGGAGCAGGTCTTGTGCCGACCGTGGCAAACAAATTTACCCACAATCCAGTTGAGGGTCTGCTTAATGATAATAGAAATTACATTGAAAAGTGAGTAGATGCAACACACCCCCATTAAGATGAAAAGGCAGTTCCCAAGTCGGTAAGCCTCCTGAGACTCGTACTGCTGCCTCTGACTGCTCACCAGGTCCCCGAAACCAATGGTGCTGAAGGCCACGAAGCAGAAGTAGAGTGAGTCCACGTAGCTCCAGTTCTCCATGGAGCTGTACAGGGTGGAGGCGCTGCATGCGATCACAATTGATGCCACACCCAGGATCAGCATAACATAATAGACTGACGGCTTCCAGCCTTCAAGACTGTCGTCCTCACTGGATGATTCCTCCCGGCTGGCCACCACCCCGACTCCAGCACACTTAAGCCTGCGCTCGTGACACCAGCGCATGATGTAAGCCAGCATGGTGATGATCCTCTCCAGGAACAGATTGAAGAAGAGGATGGTGGCAGCACAGCCGATAAGACCGTAAAAAATTAGAAATATTTTCCCAGCTATGGTGGCTGGTGTGGTCATGCCAAAGCCTGGAAAAGGAAGGTTAAAAGGTCAAGGTCGACAAACAGTGCCATTTTGGAGTTGATAACTTGTCAAAGAATAGAACTTATTAAATTTGCATATAAAAAAAAAATAATAACTTCAACACTTACCAATAGTGGAGACCACTGTGCCCACAAAGTAGAACGCTCCGGAAAAGTCCCAACGGGGCCTCAATGTGTCCACTCTGATCCCAGCTCCATTCGCCTCCTCATACTGCCGCAGCAGCGTGTGCAGGGCACCCAGGTTCACCCTGTACCTCTGGGTGAAGTTGTCTAGCTGCTGTTTCCAGAGGTGGCGGGCTCTCAGTTCAAAGGGGTGCTCCAGGGCAGAGAAGATAGCCGCCCCACATAGCAAGTAGAGAAGGATGAGCCCGGCCAGCAGGCAAAAACGGGCATTGTCTTCATTCACGGGCGCCCGCGGGCAGCAGCAGCTGCCTGCAGCTCTCCTCTGGGCCATGAGTGGTACTGATATACCACTGCAACAGCATGCACTACCACAGCCAGTCACACACTCACAGTATGTGTTGCATGCATCACCCTATACACAACATACATGCGCTGTATAAATATAGCACAGAATTGGAAGAAAAAAATCTCTTGAAGAGTAAAGTTGTGCAGTTTAAGACATTGTTGCCTATGAGAAAACAAAATAAAGCATAAAAAAAAACATATATTAGTTATATTTGTACAAGAATGTTTGGCCTATATTCTTTGCATTATTTAAGTTATAATTTATCATTTATTGTTATACACATAAATGTATCTCAATCTAAATGACAACCTGACTGATAACATAGTAAGCTTTGGTTGAAACATGATCAAATAAAGAAAATGTATAATCAAAAAATACATATTTCTTGATAACATCTAAGTCAGTAGAAGTTCATGGTTATCAGTAAATACACACATTAAAAAGTCAAAGTTTAAAGTAAAGGAGACATTAGATATTACCTGGTGTTGTTGTAAGCGTTGTAGGTCTGCTGCTCTCCTTCCATGGGTCTGCTCAACAATGACCAGCGAGAGGAAGCCTCTTGAGGATTTTTTTTTTTTCAAACTGAAAGGCTGACCGATGTTTCATCTGTCACACAGTGACATCATAAGCCCCCACCCCCTCTTGTCTTTGAGCTTACTCAGGCTGGTTCAGTAATATCCTCCACTATTCCTCTCTATTAAAACTTAGTTTCACTCTACACTAAAAAGCAACAGGTGTCTAAAGCTTCACCTTGTATAATTGGTCCTTTAAGAACTAATTTACATCCACAAATTAGATTTTCCAAGGTCGGATTGAAGATCAGCACAAAATGTGATTCTCTACTGCTGTATTTAGTCCTGGACAGTGTTTTAAACAGCAGCTAAGAACTAAAATAAAATGATGTTGGGTACATTTAAGAGCAGAAATGTTCCCTTTATCTTCATCACCACTGATGCTCCCATGAGCAGGGCTCTAGACCAGCTCCGGTCCCAGAAGCCATCAGACTGTGTTTGTACTGTGCAGCTCACCTCAGAGGGCTTTTTGTTGTTGCTGCAGACTGTGTGGGAGGATTCACTGAGCATGACTCTCACTCTCTCAGTCTGCTCGTCCCTTTAATCTCACGAGGGGCTGCAGGTAAGGGCAGGGGTTTCCTCTGCCCTCTGTTTGATGGCTGAGTGACAGGAGTCGACAGGTGTGGAAGGACAGAGAACACATCTGGCTTCATCTCACCACCAGCTCTGCCTCAGGTGTTGAACTTTAGAGTGTTTGTATTATTGGGATTGTTCTGAGAAGGTTTAAAGACGGGCATATCCAGCACTTTAATGTGACATGTCAATAACTGTCATGTAGTGGGCTGACGTATAACAGTCTTGTGAACAACTCTTAAATACATTGTTCATTTACTTTTTGAATAACTGAAAATCTGAATGATAGTGAAAACAAGCTGATCAGAATAATGCAAACAGTTTATAGTAGTATCAACTCTGGTCATTGCTCCTTTTTTTTTAGCATTCAGACACAACCTATCAAATAGTATCCATCATTATTAAGTCGTTTTTAGCCTTTAAAATGAATTTCTAGATTAAAAAGAGAGCATCTACATGACATGCCAGCTGTATGTGAAGTGTTACTGTTTACATGCTAACATGTCAACACAATTTCTGCTTTACCATTTTTTATTTAGAATACAAACATTTACTTTGTAGTCATCACAAAGTGCAGCTGGAGATGATGGGAATGTGGTAATCAATTGTGACAAAAACATTTTACTCAAATGTCAAAATCAGGGTGATGCCTGGAGGAAAAGTCAGGGATTATCAGAGGAGGATTCTTCTTCTTGTTGGCACAAACATTTGTAATAAAGCAGGAGTTTGAAGTGGTGTAACGACAGGCTCACATTGCCATCCTCACAGCTGTGCTGCTAGCATGGTTAAAACAATTTCCACGTTTTAAGCCCCTCCTCTAAAAGAGCAAAAACGTAAGTCTAAAAATTAATTTAAAAAAGCTCTTAAAATAAAACCTTTCACCCAATCATTTTGGGTAACAACAGGTTCCATCTTGTTAGATCGCCTTGTAGTGTTCTCGACTGTATACAAATGTGTACAAATAATAGGCACGCGTCTCTAATCCTACAAACTATGATCCATTTAAGCATTATCAGGTAATAATAAAAAATTGTGGGGCAAACAAAACAACATAGTGCATAAAGTAAATATGAAGATATTGTGTTCATTAAAATAGTGCAGAAAATAAATGGGCTTTATAGCATTATAGTTTTAGCACCATTTTAATGACACTGTGTGACATTTTTCTGTTATAAAGCTGGGGGGGGGCATCTTATTACTGCTGTATCTCCTAAAATAATCTCAAACCAGCAAGGTCAGAAGTCTCCTGCTGAGGCTGGAGACTGAGAGAGTGTTTAGCACACAGTGGAGCTCAGTGTCAGGTTGACTAGACGCTCCACACTAATGCCCTTTTGACCGTTGTTGTGTGCCTGATAACTGAACAAATGTGGAATGTATTTATTTGGAATACATTTTTGCTAACGTGTTATTGTAACTAATCACATCAAATGAGGATAACATTTCTAACATCCTCATTCTCTTTTTTTTTCCAACATAAAGTCCATTCTGACAATTCTGATAAGTCAATCATTTTCTGCAGGCTATCCATCTGCAATCAATATGCCCTTTTAGAGAGTTAAAGGAGGGATTAAGACATCCAATTTCACATTTCCAGAACAGAGTTTAAGTCAATGGCAGCATATTGGACAGTATATCAATGAGGTTGTCCAGACCCCAGAGGTAGCCATCTTCTCGATTGCCCTCCTCCCAGGGAGTGCGGTGGTCCAACATGAGGTGTGACGGCAAGGCGGCTGTCTTCCCAAAGTCAATCATCCACACTCCTGTACTGCCTGTCCAGTCGTGAACAAACAGTAAAGAACTGCCCACAACCTGTAGAGATACAGCTGTTAGAAAAAGGGTCTACAGCTGCTACAGATGTTTTAATTATCAGAAATAAAAAGCAATGAACATACATTCAAAACCTAATGACTTCAAAAACCGTGTTCTTAATCTAACCTCATGTGATTTGAAGAAGTCTGATGCTTCCAAGACCTGCCGCAACTGCTTCAGTCGTCTCAGATAGCCCCACTAATAGGAAAGATATGAGAGATTTACACATGAGAAAAGAAAAACAAATGTTACGGTTCACTGAAGGTCCCACTCACCAAAATGGTTGTATTGGAGTCAACAAAATTGTCAAGCGCCTCGATCACTTGTTCTCTGCTTTTGGTCCTTTTGAAGTTTGTGTGGCATTCTTCATCTGCCTTCTGTGTAGGAAACAAAGAGATACGTCAATATTTGGCATGCCAGAGGAGAAGCCATAGTTTTGTTGCTTTTTATATGACTGTGAAATCAAAGGGCACTGATGGCCTAGTGGTTAGGTTGCGCCCCATGTCAAAGGCTACAGTCCACCAAAGCGGGCAGCCCAGGTTAAAATCCGACCTGCGACTCCTTTTACCCACATAACATTCCCCATTTTCTCTCCTAATTTTCTATCCACTGTCCTATCAAATAAAGACAGTGAAAACAAATGTATTTGTATCATACAGTCCTTATATATCAAAATGACTCAATGACCTGACACATCTTACCCTGAATCCTTCGATTCGGAAACCCAGAGTTGTAGTGGAGCTCAGCGTCTCCCTCCACTGCATGTACCTGGTCTTCAGCACAGCTTGCTGGGCTCTTTCCTGAACCGTCGGGGCCTCTGGATCCACGGCTACCATCTTCTCGTACATGTCTTTACGAGGCTGGGGCCGTTCTCGAGCAATTACCAACTCCTCCTCGAGGTACGTACTGTGAAGGTCAGATCCTCATTATTGTGCCGGGAGCATAATTATGATACTGAAGACTTATTATGACATCAATGAGGAACATTCTGCTTCAATATCCAAACCATTCAGTCAAAATGTTAATAGTAGTATTTGTTTTTCTTTTCTCTCAACTGTAGTTAAACCAAACCAATATTAAATTTGTATTTAGGGAAGTCTTTTATGTGTTTTATAATGTTATAAGTTAGAGGACATTTTTTCTGCACATTAAATAATTGCATAACTATGTTTGCTGATGTTTTTTAACAATTAGTAAAACTATGAAGCCTTTTCTGAGAAAAAGCACTTTTAACGGCACTCAGCAAAACACACTTCCTTGTTTGAACATACCGGGTGCCCATCTTGCAGTCCATGATGGCCGGCGTGTTGAAATGGGTCAGCAAGTTGTCCATCATGTTGTAATCTTGCTCGTCCCGCTGCACCACACCGTGGTAGGCTGGAACAAAGGGCCTCAGAGAGTCCTCCATCAGCCTGAGGTAGCATTGCTGCTCCCCTTCACAAAACCTCTTCAGCAAGGTCCCATAATCCCCAACATGAAAACTTCCTGTGAAGACAAGCAGAATGAGACACACATAACTTAATTGGAGTATTTCAATATACATGACATGTATTATATTAGGATAAACCCCTTGATGAGTATCACCTCATTTCAAGGGGGTCCTAAAAATATAAGGCTAATCCCTTTTTAGGAGCAAAATGTCAGAAAAGTAAGATTTGAAAAGAAAAAAACAAACCTGCATGTCCAACCACTTGCAGCCACTGCTGAGGTTTCTTGGGAGTCATAGGAGTTATAGCTGAAGTCCTGCAACTTTGTTGTTTTGTCCATGCAGAGTTCTGCATCAGAAGAACAGAAAACCTCAGTCAGTCATTCTTTAGCACACACACACACAGAATCCGGGATGCACGCTTCTGCTACCTGTGACTGCTACCACAGACAGGCAGCAAGAATCTCAGACTTCAGACCCTGCCACTCTGCTTTTTGCCTTTAGAGGGAACAATGTTTCCATGGAAACAGCGCTTCACTGAAAACAAGTAAAGACATGCAGAGGGCAGAGTTGGCTCTAAACATGTGTAACAGGGTTGTCAAACATTTACAGGAGACACTTGTTTTTTTGACTAAAAATGTCTTTTCAGGAGGGCTGAACACAAATACGTGTACAAGAGGATTCCAGATTAGTCTTACACAATTACACAAAAGTATCATGATTAAGAAAAATGTGTCTGCCATATGGTTCTCTGACGTTGATGAAACTATGCAAATACAAATAAAAAACTTGCAGTTAGCTGACCTAATACAGCAGTGAAAAACATGCTTATAAAAGAATAAATTTGTATTATTAATAATAATAATAATAATAATAATAATAATAACAATAAATTTAATTTGTAACGCACTTTACATTTTTCCCCAAAAAATCTCAAAGTGCTACAGGAAGAAAAAACAGAAATAAAAACGTTATTTCATATTCAATATTTTAATTTTTGATGCTTCTTCATCCTTCAACATTTAATTCCAGCACAGTGTTTCCAAGCCTCGCATTAGAGGCTGTTTCCATTCACAACCTGTAGGCGGCAGGCGTCGCGCCTAAACACTGTCGAGTCCACCTCTAATTTTAGTTAGAAGAAGAAGAAGCGGGAGGAGAGAGGTAGAACCAAAGAGGAGAAGAAGAATTTAACGGTTCCCGGTTGTAAGACCAGCTCCGGTCTCCACGGTGCAGGAGGTTTACACTTTGATTTTATTAAATTCTATCAAATAACCGGCTGAGTTAGCTGTAACGTTTACGTCACCGAGCTAACGCAGCGCCGTATTGTTCCAAATGTGTTGACAACATAAACCTTTAAGGATCTTTACTAATCACCAGGTGAGCTACACGGAGTAAAGGTAAGAGTTCCACATGGAGATAGTTTTGTTATCTTACTGTAAGTCGAGTTAACTAACATGCAACTAACGACGTTAACAAAGCTAGCTAACCTGAGCTAACGAGTTGTTACGTCTCTCTTCATGATGTTGAAGATAACACAACATTATTATCTCCCTGAAGCCTGTTGTCTATATAACGACTTTCTGTAGAGTCGATACCTACAGTACTGTTGCCAAGACGACAGTAAACAGATTCCTCAGCAGCTGTGATGTTGTGTTAAAGAAGAGGTCAACACAGGTTTCTGTCTCTTTTCACTGCACGAAGTGAAGTCAAGCGAGAAATCTCACAGCATCACCATTAAAGCGAAACAGACGCGATTATATAAAATAAAAAAAGCTTACCTCGAAAAACATTACTCAAGACACGACACAGCCGAGTCCTCCACACATGATATGACCCGCCAAGCAGCACTTTTTTCCCCAATAAAAAATGATGATGACACCTTTTGAAATGCCCTCTGTTAGCTCCTCAGCGCCCCTAGCGGCGTGTTTGAGGACAGACCGTGAGGTGGTGAGCCAAAGAATAACTTTGTTTATGTTAGTGATAGTTAATGATAGGACTATGCTGCCCCACAAAGGCAAAAAGACCTTAAGTCGCCAGAGTGTAGAACTGAGAAAAATGACTTTAAAAGTGTTTTTGTTGTCCAGTCAAATGAGTTGCAGAATTTTGGAAATGTGGCAATTCTTTGTCTTTTTAATGAGGTTATTAATGTGCATGAAAGTCTTTCGCTCAAACATGACATTTGACCCTTATTTGGAAGTTAAGGTACTCTGCCTTTGCATATTTCACTTGGTTGCATTGTTAAAATAACACAACCAACACTATTTCTTTGCAACACTTTAGTCAAGCTGCTGTGTGTGTGTGTCAGAAGTGCTTGATGACAGATGTTAAAACAAAGGCATAACACCTTAACTCCACTGCAGTAAAACAGTAACTTCACGTTGATCCGCAGCAAAACAAAGGCAGAAGACCTTAACTCAGTTTGAGCGTTCCTGAATGCTGCAGTACAAAGACAAAGACCCTTATGAGTGAAGTTAAAGCACTCTGCATTGGTTTCTCGAGGGCTTTTGGAAGTTAGGGCAAATACAACCTACTATTTTCTTTAAAAAAAACAACACAATTGACTCAAGATATCTGTCCACATAATAAAGCACATCTGTAATGTTCCAAAAATGACAAAAGCTCATTTTTGAAAAATTGAAGTTACTGCCTTTTGCCTTTTGTAGGGCAGTATATATATCTATCATTTATAAAGTGGTGATGCATGCTCAAGCTCTGCACTATATGATGTATTTTTACATCATATAGTGAACTGTTTATGGTTCTTTTTTTTTTTTTTTGATTTATTAATTTATTTTCGTGTCATGCACACAAAGTGCCCAACCCTCATGGGCTTATAAGACACAAAAGAATTCAGTTGCAGTGGTTCACATTTACAAATCATAACATTACAAAGTTGCCAGCTCCTGTCAAAGTTCAGTCTTAAACAACGTGTTCTGTCTTTTCCCCCAGGCTTTACAAACAAAATCTGCTATAACAAAGGTTCCTTTTTCAAAACACAACTCAAGTTTTTCATAATCGTCTAACCAAAAGAAATCAACATAATTTGAAGACATTCTTTGGAAAAGAACATCCCTGATGTCAGCGTACATCGGGCAGTAAAACAAAAAGTGAATCTCGTTTTCAATTTCTCCTAACTCACACAACAAACAAACTCGATCTTCCTCTGGTATGGAATTAAACCTGCCGGTCTCTACAGCTAAAGACAATGTTCCTGAACATAGTTGAGCGCAGAGGAATCTTTGTCTTTTATTTAAATTAAACTTAGCATAGGCTTCTACGCTGTAGCAATCCTTTATGAGACAGTATGTTCTTAGTTTTGGTTTGCACCATATATCCACAGACCATTTCTCTTTGTACATTAGAAACATAATATTTTTGGTTCATTAAGGAATATTCTTGTTATCAGATTTATAATCAAGCAGCCTAAAGTGGCATCAGGATTCACAGGATTTGTTTTCTCTCAGACTCGGAGGGATGGAGGAGGTTTCTGAGGTGGTGGAGGAAATGGTATTTCGAGGAGTGGAGTTCTCTGTAAAGATCGAGGTGGAAAAGAGTGTGCTGATAGTCGAAATCTCAGACTCAATGACAGCTGATCAGTGGAGGGGCGACTTTGATCCAGCATGTAAGTAGCATACATGTCCTATTGATTAAATGTCTTTGCAGGCACAAATACTCTCTCAAACACCTACATTATTCTTCCAGACATTGAGGACCTCACCCGCAAAACAGGAAACTTCAAGCAGTTCCCTATCTTTTGTAGCATGTTGGAATCAGCTGTCAGAAAGGTACTGCATGTTTAAGGAGCACTTAGATGGAGCAAAAACACAGAGGTGGCTGAAATTCACACAAAGTCAATAGTGAGCTGAGAACAGACAGAGATAAGCTCTTGGGTCTTTGAGCGAAGACGAGACACAGTCATCCGAGTTCAATGTTTCCACTTGAGTGAAAACTGCCCAGTGTCCTGAGCTGCCTTGTTGCCTCTCTGCTAGTCATTAATGCACAGGCACCAGGGCCAAAAGAGGAGAGCCTGCAGAAAAATCTAAGAAAGTGATGTGAATTTGGGTAGACGATCGTAACTGACCTTTTAGTTCAATACAAGCACAATACACGCACACAACTTGTGTTGGTTCAACAAATTATTGAACCAACAAGAGTTTTGTTTTGACAAAATTACACAGAGAACACTTTTGTTTCTGAGCAGCCCTTTATATCACATTTGATTTTTTTTGGGTGAAAAACCTAAATTATTGGTTTTTACAATTGTTTTTGTCAGGAAGAGGATAGGATATATCCATCATAAACATGTTAAAATACCTTACTATTTTATTTCTAAGTTCATAACAGTAAAGTCTCTATTTAATTTTTCCAGATGAGTGATTCTGTGACTCTTGACCTGCTGACCTATGCAGACCTGGAGCTGCTGCGCAACAGAAAAGCAGGCGTAGTTAGTCGTCCTCGCAGTCATCAGCAGCCCTCTGCTCTCACTGCCAAAAGATATCTAATCCTTATTTACACTGTGGAGTTTGACAGGTTGGTACCCCTGCTGAAAACCTTTTTAAGTCAAACATATACTGTATATGTTTGTTCAGAATTGTTTTGGTTAACTAAACGGTAATAACTGTTGAGATCTCCTTCTCTAATGAAGGATACACTACCCTTTACCTCTACCCTATGCGGGTAAGCCTGACCCGGCAGCTCTGCGAAAAGAAGTGAGAGCTCTGAGGGCTGAGCTCAGCGCTGTCGCCTCTCATGGAGTTAACAAATCTGCAGAACTAGAGATCCAGAGGCTACGAAAAGAGTAAGTTGAATTTCATTTGAATCACTGTGACCAACATGAAGGGATCTTTTTTTTTTTAATGTGTACTACTGTTACAAGGCTTGCCCTGGTGAAAGAAGAGAAAGCGGCCATGGCTAAGGTTTTGGAGCGACTGCAGCTCGATGGAAGTGGTCCGACATCCGGACGAGAGGACTGGAGGGTCAGAGGCGTGGTGACGACACTGGAGGAGCAGCTTGTTAAAGAGCGGGCCAAAAGTCAACGTTCAGCGAGCAAGAGAAGCCAAGAGCAGCGACTGCTGACTGAGCAGGTGGGCCTTCAGCATGTCAGAGTACCCACCTGAGAAAGAGCTAAGTTGTTTTCTTTTTTTTTTGCCCCGCTGACTTACCATTTTATTCTCTTTCCTTGCTAGTTGGAGGAGCTGCGAGCATCAGAATGCGCTCTCCGCGTTCGTGTCAAGAGTCTTACAAATGAGCTGGCTTTACTACGGAGAGGGTTAGACAATCTAAGCGTGTACTATATCTTTACTTTCTCTCTCTTTCCATTCACTTACATGTTAAGTAAACATTTGAATTCTACATTTTTATATTCCCACTTGGCTCACACCCATATTGTTCTTCTGCAGCAAAGTGACTCCTGTGTCTGGCCGCCTCAGCTATCGAGTCGACGGGGAAATCTATCGCTCGGTCTCCCGTGAGAGAAGTGTGGGGTACGGGACGGTCAGGGCTCGCTCTGGGTCCAGAGATCGTATTGAGAACAGGGGTCAAAGGTCGGAGGAAAGAGGAAGAAGAGCGGACTCCTCAGGACCACATGCTCGCATACACAGGCCATCACCTTCTCCCACGGGTACTGTTCACGCTGTTACGTTAGCTTTGCCCTATATCTCTAGTATTCTCTTTTTGATCTCAGGCCTCTAACCATGTGTCTCACAGGGTCTCGGGGGCCACGCTTTGACCCAACCGCATACATCCAGGACAGACAGCGCAGGCTGAAAGAGGCGGAACAGAAGAAGTTGGTTTCCATTATTTCTGTTTTGTAGTTTGCAGGTATTTGATGTTGAAGCTTCTGAGATGAACAGTTTCTCCCTCTTTTATTGTGTCAGACAGAGGAAGGTACGTAGAGAAATGCTGACCTCACCTATTGTCACTGAGCGTGGGCGTTCACGCTCAAGGGAGGCGTATCCTCTGATGGCCCGGTCCAGCAGCAGAGGCAGGAGTTTATCTGTGGAGCGCAGAGGGAGCAGGAACTCATCTGAGAGCTCGTTGGTGGATATGGAGGAAATGGCTAGAACTCTGTTCAGGTAATGGGGATTACCTCAGATGTCTTTCTTTTCTTTTTGTGTGATTTCTGTTGTTTTAGCCGTCTTTTCAAATGTCTGGGAATTTGTGTTTGCAGGGGAAGAAAACAGACCTACAATGGACCCAGTGTGGTGAGTGACATTTTCAATAATGTAACTGGTACACCATTTATTTCTACTCTGTCTTATATTAACTTAAAAGAGAAGGTTGTCAATCAGCTGCAACGCTGTTCGCACATCTATAGTTATATTACGACATGACAGACTGAGTCAGTTGTGAAATCACACTGGAGGAAAAAACATTTGAACAATACCAATTTGCTACCAATAAAAGTGGGAGTTTCTGTGGCACAGAGACCTGCTTCACAAAACTTTAAGGACTAAGGCTGTGTCCAAAACCATTTACTTTCATAGTATTCATACTAAATGATGTCACATTGAGTAGTAGTAACTTCTGTTGATGTAGGAGGGGGCGGCGTCCCAGTGCCCCTTACTAACAAACTGCCAGAGTTTACTAGTAGTTTCTTTTCCTTTTCTGTGTTAGAAAAATGTAAACAAAGGCAGCAAGAACTTCTTTCTTCTAGGACTTTTTAACCAGGGATCAGTACACAAACAAAAACTACAATGGACATGTGAGTTGTGAGGAACATGACCTCAGTGTGACTCACTGATGTGTTTCAATAGTTTTTGGATAACAATGGAGCTCTAAGGCGCAGAGGAAGACGCTCCTTTATGACCAGCTGGCATATTACAAGCTGACTTATTAAGATCACTTTATTGTGGGTTGGGGACTTTTCAGGTATTTGTTGGCAGTAAAAAAAAAACAAATAAAAAAAAAACATATTTCTGTCAGCCTTATCATCTAAAGTGTGATTTAACTTTTTCCAGTCGAGAGACCTTTTAACCAGGAAGCCATTAAGCAGTACTCCAACACAGAGGATGAAAGACAAAGGTAGTTTATAACAAGTCTTTTTGGTGCAGTAAAATTATTACAATTTATGTTTAACAAATAAAAATCCACCACAGAACAACTAAACATCAGTTTACATCTCCAACCGGCAGAGAGCTCCATGGATACAGGTGCTGAGCTGTCAGAGATTGATGCCAGACTGCAGGCGCTTCAGGACTACATGAGGGACCTCGATACAGGACACTAACAACCTCTGCACAGCACGTTACCAGCTGTGGAGAAGATACATTATGATTGCACAGCTTGGGGTTCAGAGGATCTGTTTTGTTTTTTTGTCAAGTGCACAAACTGATGAAGACTTTGATCTTCAAACATGGACAATGGATTTACAGTTGTAAATCTGTTTACAGATGAGACATTTAAAAATAAAATAAAAATAAAATAAAAAACTTCGGAGGGTCAGACTCCCAGGACCTCAGGAAACTAGAGCCATTACTGTGAAGGACTTCTTTATGTGGACTGAAATTATTTTTTTAATGTACAAAGTTTTTATTAACTTAAAATTGTAATTGTCTTCTTTTCCTTTTACACATGTCACCAAACCCACTAAACTTGTTACATGGATGTTAAATCTGGCAGTAAGTAACTGTAAAAATCCTTTACTCACTTGATGCGTTCCTATTTTTAAAGCACATTGAATCAATTGACACTAAGAGTTGCATTCTTCAAGGTATTAACACCTTTTAACAGCGGCATGATTTATCCCCCCCTTTAAAGACACAGTACGCAACAACATTTAAACAAAAAAAGTTGACGGTTGTGATTGTATTGGATTTTGCTTTACTGTGCCAACATTTTAACCATAGACTGTTAAACCTGTGATGGTCCGTTATCTTTGCCCCCAGTGCATGCTGGGATACACTCCAGCTCCTGTACACTCAGCAGTAAGCATGTAGAGGACAGGACTCACTTCATCACCTTGTGTTTTAGTGCACTTTCTCACTCCTTCCCCACTCTGTACGTCACATTAACAATGTACTTTAAGCATTTTAATTGATGGCAGGATATGACCTTTAAATAAGTTGATTCACATTGAAATTGTAGAATATTCTTATATTTCAATGTAAGAATACATATGAACTTGGAGTATAAAAGCTAATAATCCTGGACCCCAAAAGACAGATTGTTAATCACACACTTAATATATTTGTATTTATGTGTTCATTAATCCATCCCACTTTAAAAGTGATGGTGCATGTAAGTGTATGACTGTTGAGTGACTCAGTCCCATTCTGTATGAAACATCTTGAAGCCAAGACTTACTGTTAACTTTTTCCACTGTAATGCCCTTTTAACAGCTACAAATATATTTTATTAGAAACGTGTCCTGTGTGTTAAGACATTTCCGTTCTTTTCTGGCTCTGAACAGATTTGAACACTACTCTGATCAAGCCTAGTGTTGGTTGAAGGGGAGCTTGAGGGAAACCTTGAAGCGTTTCCAGCTCTGCAGCTGGCTCACTTTCATTAATTAACCAATAAACTTCCGGGCCAAGAGCTGTCCTCTCAGGGAACAGCTCTGTGTCCGAACAGCTGCTCTGCTTCTGAGCAGATCAGCAGAGCGATGTGAATGCCTTGTTCTAAATATCAGTTATTAAACGATCTACACTGATGTCCCCATAACCACCGCCATCCTCATTCATCCACGGCCTGCTCCCACCTGAGCGACTTTTTACCTGCTCTTTTATAAAGCACCTTATGAATTGGCACTATACAAATAACGATTGACGTACATTGACAGAAAATTAGGGCTAAAAATAAACATTTTAAAATACATGTGTTTCGATGAAATTCTTGAAAAGATAAGGAAAACATATTTTACTTGGAAAAAAGGAAGCTATTCATCAGCCTGCATGATCTCGACAAGAATCCTTCCGAGCTGAAAACCTGGGAGTGTGTGTGACGATACACGTGGATTGAAATATTGATTCAGCTTCATGAATACTGGTTGAAAACATCAATCCATAGTGGATATTTAAGTTAGAGCTTAATTTTTTAATTTCAATGGCACTTAAGTCCCATTGTTACAGGTTTGAGGTTAGAAAAAAAAAAGAACATTTAACGTGAATAAGTTCAAATATATTTTCTCTTTTAATCAAAAACACATTTATCAAACACTTTGGATTTAAACTCTTTTAACTCTTTAAACTGTAAGTAATGAAACATGGGAAACTTTCACCTTATCATGGCCTGAGTCTTCATTTATTACAAACATATAAAACCAAAAAAATTCTAATTTACAAACAGGAAATTGAACTCCAGTCAATAGTAAGGCATATGGTGTCCAGTGTGAACCCTCATTTTGATGTTCTGCTTTTAGCCTGAAGCAGCTGAACAACATGTTTCTAAGAGTATTTGCAAACCCTTCCTAAAGCCCTTTCTAAGCACATTTGTGAAATGCTAAGACATATCCTGTGTGTGTTAAAGTGCTCAAAGTGTCTCACAACAAAACTTTCAGTGCATGTGAACATTGCTATAATGAAGTACTAGAAATATGGTCCAATAACATCTGTTAGTATGCTGCTGTCATGATTTAATAACGTATGTATGTAACGCTTGTAACAGCGTGACATACATACATACATACATTCGTCGGGTGGAGAAGTGTTGACGTAAGGCCACAATTCTAGGCTCTCTTCTCCCGCTAAATCATGATTTTCTTGTTCGAGTGTGTCATTGCTGGTTCTCTGTGTTCACGGTCGACTGCATCACTTGTTGTCTTCGGCTGTTCAGGATGGTCTGAATGCTGAGTGTGAGCTGTGGAGGGATGTGATCAATGAGATTTGTGATTTTTCACACATATGTTCATACATAAACTCACTCAGACTAACTTAAGTGACTTACTGTTTGTTGCTGTGAAAGGACCTCTTGATAAAAGGCTTGCCTGCGTTGCTGCTCCTTCTCGTCACACACTTTCCAAGTTTGAGCTTTGCTTTGGATCAAGGCCTCAGGCAGCTGAGGATTCTGTTGCCGCTGTGACATAAAGTCAATTTTACAAATACATGATGGACAAAGACAATTCTGAAAACCCAACAGCAAAGGGCTTTAGTCATACTGCACTGATTCATTATATATTTACTGTATGACAAAATACATCAGGAGAGGATCATCATTGTCAGTTCTACTGGTACCTCTTATATCCACTGCTGTATTAGATTAAAAGTGCTTCATGACCATACTGAATGTTACTATAACTTGTCCCTCAAAGTAACTTTAGTTGTCTGTCATTTTTTGTAGCTTATTTTATCCATTACTTTGCAGCCAACTAACTACCAGAAGCACCATTCAACTATTAAAAGTCGATATCAAGCAGAACTAAGAAGTTTGAGGTGGACAAATATTAGTTTGATTTTTTCTATAATACTGAAACGGTTGAATGGTAAGGCATATGACGTAAACTTCCAGTATGAACCCTCAGTTAGGAGTTGATGCCAGACGATTATCCAAAATATGTGTAATGATTATTGTTGTGGAAACCTTTCTGTGCTGCGATTGGAGGAGTTAAAATGTGGATTAAAAGCACTGCTGCTCAAAGGAAAAGCTGGAGATCTGTTTGATAAATATTAATGCTAAAAAACTAAGTTCTACTTCACTCTACTTATGCTGCTTGCTGCCACTCCACTATTTCTGAAACAAAGGTTATTTCATTGAAAAAAATAAGTTATGAAACTCTGTGAAGAGTAAAGAATCTTTGTCTGCAGCTTCAACCGTGTAAACTTAAAACACTTCTCAGCAATCTTGATGCATAACAACAAATTAAAATCATACTGTAGTTGTCAGGTGTGGCCTTAATGTCCTTTTATAAGATGTTGGTATTCCTTATACACATATATATATATACATATATATATGTGTTAATAACGCCACATTGTTACTATGAGACCTTCAGGTTACTCACCACTTGTAATATGTAGTGGTCAATCGTTTGAGACGTCATCCTCTGCAGTGACAGGAAGGACATCGACACGTTTGCTCTGCTCTTGTTCAGTAGTTCCTGCCGACACATTTTTATGTTATGTACCGTATAAAACATTTTAAAAAGTCTTATAAAATGATGTTTATTATTACCACAAGCTGTTCATTGGTCATCATTTCCAAGTGTTCCTTGCTTGAGGTGACAGGAAGGTTGGCAGTGTTTGACTGATGAAGGAACATAAAGGCACACATTAACGTTTGGTTAATACATATTAACGTACTGTTAGAGCTGCAGATAATCCTCTTTAATACCATTCAAATATGTATGCTTTATCATTTTTAATATTCAAATATATTCAATTTTTAATGTTAAAATTGAGTACGCAATTAATTATCCTATACTCAACTAATGGCAATTTTACTACTTACTACAAGAACCCTTGTGCCCATACTGCATGTCATTTTCTTTATCATGATGCTTTGGCACAGAATAACGTTCACTTGGATGTTTGCATTGCCCATAGTATTTTGAATATGGCCCAAACAGCGCGACGCAGCTCGTCGTTTTTACACCGACACCCAATTTCTATTTCCCTCTCTGTCACTTTTGTAAAACTGAACATTCAACATCCTCGTGTGAATTGAGTCACTCCTTATCCATGTTATTTATAACCAAATTACATATTCGAAAGGCAATTAAGCATTTGAATATTATTATTTTTAATATTGGGAATATATGCAAATTTCGTTCCTGCAGCCCTACAGAACATTCAACACTTTGCAGGAATTCTAGATGTTATTTCACTAGATGGAGTTGTGCTTGTAATAATTGATGCATGAAGGTGTTCAACTTTTTACCTCAGCCTCATACTCGGCCCAGGCAGCTTTGCGTTCTGCTTCACTGAGCTCTTCCTCTTGTTTATGGTCCAGCAGAGATTCGTGCTCGTGGTAAGTTACTATCTGGGTCTTACATGTTTGTAATAGCTGCTCCAGGACTTTATCCTGGGAAACAGAAACAAATAGCCATTCAATCATAGCATCTATGTGCTGAGACATCAAAGCACAAACCTGAAAATACAAATTGGTTACCTTTGGTGACACTGAGCTTGTTCTTTTCGAGTTTTTCTTAGAGTTTGGGTCATCCAGTAGATCTGGCTCAAATGTGTAAAGTTCAGTAAGTTCAGAAAGGGTGAAGTGCCTCTCATTCTGCTGATGATCCAACACTCGATTGGACAGAGACTGCTTTGTCACCTGACGATCATAGATCTTCTCCTCCATGGTGCCCTGGAGCAGGGGATAACAGCAATATTTAAGCAGCTTTGAATGCACCTGTGTATCTTTGTGCTCGTCAGTGTGTGTCACAGGCGAAGGGTGTGTGTCATAGGCGCAGGGCGTGTCAGCATCACAGGTGGTGCTATACCTTCTGCACAGAGGACATATTTGTCCACACATGACTGTAATGAAACATGGGGAATTTGGATCTGATTGAACAGTGTATATGAGTTTATATTGCCTCTTTACACTATGTGGCATTGTAAAATATCAATAGGTAGATCTTAGAGATTGCAGATTCTGATGTTTGTTTCATGACTTCTTTTGGCCACTATTTTCTCCCATGTTTTGACAATAAGAACAATTCAGAGTTTGTTCAACAGGTGACTTCGTCTGCCCAATAACAAACCACTTCTCTGATTCCACATTTAGGTTTACTTGATGCCAGCATTACATTGATTTGGCACAACAAACAAACAACAGCTACTGACATTGGTTCATTTGCCGATAAGCTGATGTCTGTCAACATGGCCGATACACTGATGTATACTGAGTATACCGATGTTGAACCGATGCATCAGTGCATCCCTGGTAGATCTGTTTAGGGTCGAACTTTCAAATGTATATGAATACGTCCATAACTCGCCTTCTCCACTACTGAAACACTGATCAATGCTTTCATTACATCTAGACCTGATTGCTGCAACAGCATTCTTTACAATAGGTCATTGGCAAGTCCTCAATAAACATCAGTTTGTCAAGAACTCTGAGCGCCTACTTACCCATTACTCCTGTGACCAAATCAGCCCTGTCCTGCAAAATCTCCATTGGCCCACTGCCACAGATTGCATCCTATTCATAATCCTGCTTCTCACTCACAAATTCAGACCAAAGTTTTAAAGAATTTCTCATGAAGTTCCATAAAGTTTCCCAAAAAATTTCCCCAAATCATTGATGATTGGTTTCGAAAAAAAAACAAAACTCAAAATACTCATTGAAAATTACAGAAGTTTCCAAAATTTTCAGATTAAGGTTTCCAATCATTTCAGACTAAATTCACAAAAAAGAACAGGTTTCACAAAATTTTGATTAATGTTCATGAAAATTTCAGAAAGAATTCCAATATGTTTCTGAAAAGTTCCTAGAGTTTTGAGCGTTTCAGTAACCCTAACCTCGGGTGTCACATGTCTTTGAGCTGTGAGAGCAGCACAGCATCACTCCAAACGATAGTTAGGTGAGAATATTTTAAAGTGACCACAAAAGTACAAAACTATCCACTAATTCCTAAGACATCTCTGTGGCAGAACACAAACTATTTATGTATATGTGGACAGTCTAAAGCTGGATTCAATATACATGTTGTACTTTCATATAACAAAATCTAAAAACAATAGAAATACATTTGTTTTTCCTGCACCGTGCAGTCTGTGCACTACAAACTTGCCAAGTGTGTGTGTCAATGATGACACACGCTCCAGCATTAAAGCGTAAATTAAATTAGAGATGCACAATTCCTTTAAAATATGAAATCTCAAAACAAATGCACAAGAGACACAAAAAAACACAAACTTCATAGTTAATGCTTACATAAAAAAAAATATAAACACATATACAAAATATGTTCCAGGAAGAGATGCCTACCTGAGCCAGGAAGCGGTAGACGAAGACTTGTTTGAGCTGACCAAAGCGGTACACCCTGTATATGCTCTGTATGTCATAGGAGGGATTCCATGAGGCATCAAATATGATGACCCTGTTAGCAGCCACCAGGTTGATGCCAAGTGAGCCTGCTTTTGTTGAGATCAGAAACAATCGGCCACTAGAAAGAAACACGATCCAAAATTAAACTTCATCATAATAATCCCCCCCCCCCGACATTATAAGCATAACATTTGAAGATGAGTCAGTTCATTCATACCGGACATTGGCAGTATTATTAAACTGATCCGTCCATTTCTTCCTTAATGTAGCAGAGGTGGAACCATCAAGACGATAGTAATCAATGTTCTTGATCCAACTGCCTTCAGTGATAACAAAGAAGAAGAATCATCAAAGGTTAAGTACCATAAGGGAGACATCAGTTATATGTTAATCATCCATAAAATACCTTTAGAACATGAAGGGTATCTTGCCCGGTGAGAGGCCCCGAGGAAATCCTCTATCAGGCTCAGTGAAGTCAAGGACTGACTGAACACAAGCCTGAAGAAGAATAGGATAATCAATCATCAGCTTCTTCAAAGAAAGTTCAACTTGCATCAGGTAACAGTATTAACTTACACTTTGTCCTCTAGATCTTCAGCCATTCTGAGGATCTCAAACAAGAGCAACATTTTCCCAGAGTGCTCCTTGATTTTGGAGTCCTGTTCTGACAGCAGACTTTTGAACCAGCTCACAGGTAGACTCTGAGATATCGAGCCGATGTTTGATTTCTCTCCTACACAGAGGACAGCACAGGCCAAACTGTATTAGTGTGCATGCTACAGTGTTATTAAGAATTATTAATGCATTAATACCTTCCACTGTTGGAGCTCCGTTGGTCACACTCCCTCCATTTTGGTTCACACCACTACATCAGGCAAAAAAAGAGCATAACAAGCATAAAAATAGCATCAGAAAGCACTCACACTCTTCTTAGTATGTGTGTTGAGTCCATGAAAAGCTTTTGGCACTGGCAGAAAAGATGTGGCAAGTTTACTCAGCTCTGCTGCTCATCCCACAAATGCATGTTCCTTAGAAAATGTGGCACCATTTAAAAGGGAAATAAACAGTATGGTATTTCCAACGGTATAAGGTTTATTGCCAAGAAGCATCGTTACAACAAAGAAATAATCTACCAAACACAAATTTCCTGACTTTTTGTGCAATGCTCATATATATATATATATATATATATATATCTATATCTATCTCACTCATATTATTCTCGAATTAGATGAAAATAAAACTCTTGTATGCCAATGTGCTTTGGAGCATTCTGATTTATCAAACTAACACAGCTTCCTCATGTATATTATAGCTCAAGATGTGCAAAAAGCTTTCATAAAAACCAAATGAAGTGAAATGTATGTGTAATGGTAGAGAGAGATTATACATGTCTTACCTCTGAGCTGCAGCTTTAACTTGATTCTTCTTTCCCAACACACTCTGTAATCAAAGCTCAGTAAAATACACTTCACGTGATGGAACACTACCAACATGCCATAACAACCTGTTCAAGCTGGGTTGTTTGTACCTTGTTTTCTTTGCTGATGTTGCTGAGCTCAAGGCACCACGGGTGATTCCAGATCCTGCTGAACACATGGAAGTCCTTGAACAGGTTTGCTCCGGCCTTCACCTTTGCTCCGTTAGTCAATGGAACAGCACCTGGAAAAAAATAAACCTTTGCTTGTATCCTCACCTTCTCAAACACAATTCAATCTGAGCGCCTAGCCAGGCTTATCTTGATGGATCGTTGATCAAATTAAAAACAACTAACATTGTCTGAAGAATTCAACACGTGTTTATCAATGAATTACAACATGGTGAGGCAGAAGGGGAGATTATCTATAAGTCACAATAAAAAAGTAATACCATGACACTTTAATGTAAGATTGAACCAGTCAATAGTCTCTACCAAAACAAATGCCGGTTTCAGTGACTAAAATTACAAGTCTGCAAATGGAAGATCCTAACAAACTTGAATTTGTTTGAATTTAAAAATGTACCATCTTCTAAACATTCAAATTCCTCCACTCCTGTAATGACAGACAATCAAGTTCTACAGTTCTTAAATCAAAAATACTACCAGAGAGTCTTACCAGAGATGTGATCAAGGTAGAAGCGGTACAGTCGATACTGAAGTGGGGAAATCCTCACTGCCAGCACGTACTCGTGTTTAGGAGGTAGAAACTGCGTCAACTCTGAGTAATCTCTTCTCTAAAAAAAAAAAAAAAAAAAAAAACATGTTTGTAAGATCTGGGCTATAAAACCAAACCATTTTGAGCATGTATACAAAGTTAGCGTTTTACCTGCACACATCTGTCCAACATAGCATGAAGGACATGAGCACGTTTCTTCATGACTCGGACGTCTTTAGGTGTGGAGTCAGCACACTGGCCGTTCTGTATGGGGTTGATAAATCGGTTTCTGAACTCTCCCAGAGAGCCCAGAAGATTCTTCTTGATGAAATTCACCATGCAGTGGTCTGTGGGAAGAACATAAAGTGTATCAGTTAAAAAGGTTTACTTTTTAGTCCACACTTCACTGACTCAGATCTCAGTAAGTGGCGTAATTCACGAAGCCTTCTTGCCAACCAACCGATTATCAATACAATGTTTTTGTGGTTTTATTTACTTGGAAATGTATTACATATGTAATTTAGCTCGAGGTAGAAAACAAATAGATCTGTCAACAGCCCCTTTAAAGGGAACCAACACTTCAGCTCACAGCCAGAGAAATAGAAACATACGCAGTGAAATGAGCTCAGTGTGTTGCAAAAATAACAGATGATACTCATTCAGTAAAAGTAATGTGTGTAATAATGTGACCTCATGGTGTTACTTAAAATGTGATGTGATGCAGACTTACACTCAATCAGGTTGTTCTGTAGCGGTGTGCCAGTTAGCACCACTCTTCGTCGAGTCTTGATTGCATTCAAAGCTTTGGAAATATCTGAAGCTTCATTGCGCAGGATGTGGCCCTCATCACAAACCACAAAGTCTGGACCTGTAAAAAAACACATGGGGTGCTAAACCAGGTCATACTTCAACAACATAATGGAGTTTATAAGTTAAATACTGTACCTGGATCCACCAGTATGCTTTTAAACTCCTTCTTTACATTCTCGTTGCTGATCTTCTGAGCTAATGACAACATGCGATACATCTGGTAGCCCATGATCATGACTCCTCCGTCCCTCTGCCACCTCCGCAGAGCGCAGATTCGTTCTTGAGGTTTTATTGTAGCCAATTCTGTTACCTGAAGTGAGATAGGTGTGATATTAAGGAAAAGATTATGTCAAATAAGTAAAATATGCAGTAATGCCCATTTTTGCTTATAAAGATTTGAACTGCTTTTCAAACCTTGACTCTATCCTGCCCCATGTTGTCCTGCCATTTCTTGAACTCGTTCACCCAGTTGAGGATGGTATTAAGTGGACACACGACCAGAGCAGTTCTGAATTTGAGGTTCTCTGACAGCAGCACTGTGTGCAGGAAGGTCACAACCTAAGAAGTAACACAAGTATGAATATGTAAGAAAATTAAAAAAAACAAAAAATAAAGCATAGATTAAGGTAAGGGATGATTGGTTATTTTGTGCAAAAATACACATTCAAAGTGTTTTAAATATTGTTTATCATTAGTCAAGGATTAATTAAAGCAAACAAGGACAAGGGGTGCAGGTCTGTGCATGTCTTCACCTGCAGAGTTTTCCCCAGGCCCATACAGTGTGCCAGAATACAGCCTGACCCAGGGGCAGAGTTGGCCTTATTCACAGACTCACAGCAACTGTCCCAGATGAACTGAACACCTGTTGGAAGAAACAAATAAATAAATACAATATTAAAAGATAAAAATTATTTCTAACCAGAAACAAGAATTTGACTCTGTGCAGCTAAGATCTGAGAAAACGTGTTGTTTTGTGGATCAATCATTAAGATAATATATTTATTCAAATAATCTAAGGCTTTCAATGAACATTGTAAAAGTGCTTACAGACAAGAAATGCGTAACTCAGGTAAATAAGAGCCGAATTATCTCTTGCTGTTACATGTCTGTGAAGTGCGTTACAATAAATTGGTGTCCATGTCAGACAATTTGTAGAAAAAAGCGCACACTAACCATCCACCTGGTGAGGCTTCAGTCTCGTCACCAAGTTCCTGTGCACCTGAACAAGAGGCTCCTTGGTCTTCTTGTCCTGATCCAGGACCAGTTTAGTGGTGATGGGGCCCCCAACTTGAGACAGCTCCTCCGGTATTATCTGTAAAACAGCAGCAGACAGTCAGCATTAATTAAGATTTACTTTTATTGATTGAAATTTCTGTTTTTACACTCTAAGTCATGCAACACACACATAGGCTGAAATATACAGATGCACAAACAGGATCCTATGGACATGCACTAATGGAAAGATGTCAGAGTGACGGAGCGGCCCACAGTGAGTGCTCCTGAGCTGATGGTGGGGGGGGGATCAGTGCCTTGCTCAATGGCACACCGGCAGTGCTCAGGAAGTGATCTGGCACCTCTCCAGCTACCAGACCAACTTCTGGATTTGGTCCGCACCTGAACTTGAACCAGCCCCTCCGGTTCCCAGCCCAAATCACTACAGACTGAGCTACTGCCGCCCCCAATAGAAGTACATTACTGGTAAGTGTTATAAGAAAAAGGATACAAGCATCTCGTGAACAATACTTCCCTTTATATGTATTCATTATAACACAATGCAGTTTAGACTCTGTTTGTGTGCAGTACCGTTCTCATGTCCTCCAGCTGTTTCTCCCTGTCTGCCAGTCGTTGGCACCTCTCCTCCTCCTCCCTGACAGCCTCCTGGGTCTCTGCACGCAGGTTCTCATCATCGATGATTTTGCGAATCTTTTTGCGTCCTTTAGGGGTTCCTTTACCGTCGCTCGTATCCTCATCTGCATCCTCTTTATCACTCTGCTCACATAGAGAAGCAATAAGACCGTTACATGACAAAGTCCTCGTCTGAGAGCAACAGTGAGGTATGATAAATAAGGAAAAACAGGTAAGTGGTAAACAAAGAAGTTATAACATGAGCTGCTACCTTTTCATCGCTGGAGTCTGACAACAAAATGTAGGGCACTTTGATCGACTGGTCTTGACTGCTGGATGCCTCCTTATCTTTACTGGATTGTCTGGAGCCATAAAAAAAAAAAGAGCGAAACTCATTAATGAAAATGAATGTAAAGTTAATAAAGCAATTCTATCTCTATTAATATAAAAGTTTACAGTGTGACCGACAGAAATAGGTTCGCTTAAGGCAACTTTTAGCAAAGTAGTATAAAGTAAATGTCGTGTTTTTCATTCAGGAATTAAAAAATGCATTTCATATTCATGTGTTGTTGTTTACTCAAAGCCAGTTTCAATTGAATTGCTTAAATCCAGCTCAGATCGTTAGAGGTTTGTCTGTCACAAAACAAACAGCTTGTTTAGTGAAGTCAACCATCACTCAGCGCTGTATTGTACTGTATGTGTAAATTATTTTATTTCCTTCAAATATTTTGCAAAAATACATATAACCAATATGGATCATTATTGAAAACAAATGGTTGAGAAGCTCTGTTGTACTGCAACAATAATGTGACATTGAAAAAGAAGTAATCATTTCTATTTGATACATTCGTATTTACCATCAGGGCCCCACTGAGGTGTTTGTTGGTTAACTGTCACTGAGCCACTGGAGCACTTAATGGAGATGAACATTCACTGATGAGATGAACATGCTGTGACGTGGACAAAGGTTCAGTCTTCCACTGCAGTAATTGTGCTTTTACTTAATCTCATTCGTTTTATACATATATATTTATACGTTAAATCAAACCAGAACTGTTTGTTATAGTACTACCTTGTTTTGATGTTATCAATCAATCAATCATTGTTTTATAATAGCGCCAATTCATAATAAGTGTTAATAACGAGATAATATGAAGGCAGGATTTCTCCTTTGTATTCCTCACTTTCCTGATCAATGGCATCTAAAAAATGTTTACCTTTTCAGTTTGTCTCCACCTGCTTCATCCTCGGAGTGACTCAGCTCCACGCTCATCCCATCTTCTTCTGGCCCCAACTCGTCGTCAATATCAGTCTCACTATCGGCTTGAAAGAAATCAAAAGAAGACATTAAGGCGGATCATGTGCCCCCTACCTGGGTATTATTGTTAATGTCGGATGTGTTCTTACAGCTCAGGTCGATGCTTTTGTCTCTTTGGTTCTGCTTTCCTTCTTCAGTCTCTGCCACCGCCTTGTCACCTGATGTCCCTCCATCAAAATTGAGTTTGTGACGGAGGAGATGGTGCCTGTTGCTCTGCTTATCAGACGGGGTGTCAGATGGCGCTGAAGAGTCTTCCCCTGAAGTAAAAGTTTAGTCTTATCATTTCCCCTTTTAACTCCACAAGTCACCTTACAGCTGACTTATTATGGCTTTTATGTACAAATGTTAAAGTGGGCTCTCTTCATTAAGATTAGAAATTGAAAATACTTGTGCTTATAAAAAATGATGCACAAGAGTATATCTAAAGCTGGTGCTTTCAATAAATGACTTACCATTTGCATCACTTTCATCTTCACTCCCCTTTTTGACCTCCTTGTCGATGTCCGAATCTGATTCCTCATCGTGTGTTTCCTCCTCCGTAGATATTTCATCAGCCGAGGAGTAGTTGGCTTTGATTTGGGCCAACAGAATTTTCTTAGCGATTCTTTCAAAAGTAGAAAAAAGGGAAAAGGTACCTGAGGTTCATTTCATAATCAGTTAGTGTCTTAAGCTGGATATTTTTCAATAGATCAAAAGCAAATGTGTCATAACAGTTTGACTGACATAAAACATATTAAGTGTTTCATGACCAGTAGTGCTTCAGCTGTTAGCCTTTAAATAAATGTACTGTAAATCTGAACAGACATTTAATAGAGTCACTGATTTCTGGTCAAACCCATCTTGTGCTTAGATAAAAGGTAGGGACAACTAGTATTTATTAAATTAAACATTCAGAACACTTGAAGACATCTACAAAAAATAAACGGATGAAGAAGTACAAAAAAAGAGACAGAGGGGTTTTCAAAAGTAAGAATTTATTACAACAACAGGTTTTCTTCACAGAAAAAAGACAATTAAGAGTTTCTTATAGTGTTTACAAAGTGTTAAGTCTGCTTGAGTTGGACACACATTTTGTCTTCTTTTGTTGCAAGTGGATTTTTAAAAGAACAGCTATCATTGATCGCTAGCTCAACTATACACGGCAGCTCGCATTTGAAGAGCAAAGCACTCCTCTGGTACCGTACCAGCAAATCAATGTTCTGTGTAACAGGGAGGAAAACTTGGGACAAAACAAAGCATCACTTTAGATAGGTATTTACACAAAGAATCTGTTTCTTTATACCACTTAATGCACCCGGGAAGGATAAAAACTAAAGAAATGGGGCGCTTAAAATAAATATAAAAAAGGGGTGGGGGATTAAGATTCAATACTTTTCTGTGTTTGATACCATCTACTGAACGAGAGTTTTCAAACAAGTGCTTGACCTGATATGATTTATGAAAACTGAGAGTCAAACAGCTCAGACTGGTTTGAATAGAGTCCTCCCACACTCAGATCAATTGTCTGCCCAAAATGAACCCTTTCTCACAACTCTATTGTGCGCTCAGGGCCGCTGAGCTCATAGAGGTCAATGCAGGTCACTGGACATGTGATACCAGCCATTTTCACTGACGTTTGATCCAACATCCAATGAGATTTTATTTACAAAGAAGCTGCATTACAGTGATTCCAGGCCACAGCAGCATCTACGGACCAGGCAGAGCTTTGAATCTCTTTTGACACATTTAGACCATGCAAAGAAGATGAAGAGAATAACACTGAAGAAGATACGTGTAGACCCCAGGAAGAATGGCTGAGCTCCTGGGTACAGCTAAAGAGGATCCTAACAAATAAACAAAAATCTACATAATGCCACACATTTACATGGCATAACTGCCATTGGTAATCACATGCTCTTTATGTTTTAGCCTACTAACCACTAACAGAGTAAACTTTACACTTTTGCAGACCATTTTTCAACAGTTTAAGTTGTGCTACTTTTACAGCAAAATAAAAAAGACTTTTGTCATAAAAACAAAAACTATGTGTTGCCGATAGTAGGCTACAATATCCAACATTTAAGCGATTGGTGCTTAACAGCACTGCAATCACTGTTGTGCTGTCAAAAAATCCGACCTGGAAAAAACATAAGAAAGAAAAATGGATGTCATTAAAAGCACAAAGTGAAGTCTGTGCCTCTTGCCTAAGATGGATGTTGTTTCATAGCCCACTCTCAATTCTCAGATATACAACCCTCTCAAATATGTTGAATGAAACTGACCTGGAAGGCTTTTAACTCCAATTGTTCTTTTCTTCTTCAATTTAGCAAAAGCTGACAGCTGGTTGACATGTCAAGCAGGGTTAAAGAGTACCAGTTTGTGTTCGAGATGCACCGATTGCAAGGTCTGACCTGCCGATTCTGATTTTAGTCGATTTTAATATTTTCTTTGTTTCAGGAAATGTCACAGCTGGGAATGATGTCATCATGTCACACTCTAGTTGACCACATTCCAGTGACGAGTCGAATAAGCAACATTACCGCCTCCAAGCAGAACCTTTGTTTGGTTAGCTCACACGTGATAGTTTGAGGGCCAAAGTCACATGACAACATGTCCGCGAATGGAACTTTCACAATACCATCAGTGTGATCGATTACACTAAAACAAGACTGCGCTTGATGAATGTAGCACCCATGTTGGGAGTTAAACTTGGGCTACTGAAGTTAATCCAAGTTTCCGAGACAAAATTCCGACTTCAGTGGGCGTTCCAGATGACGCATCAGACTGGCAACTCACCCCCAGTTCACACATACTCCGTGCGCGCCGTGGTCCATGAGTGCTACGGTTTTGCTCTGTCCGACGGCTCGCACCCATTCACACTGGATCCGTTTCTGGGACATCAGCGCAGCGGAACGCACCCATGACACATCACAGGAGAACTACAAGATCCCGCGGGAATAAAGAGAAAAACATGCAAACAACATGTTGCTTTGTCTTTCTGAGGATGCATTGTTGTTAATTCGGTTCCTGTTTTGACGTCATGTTGATAAAGTGATGAGAAATACGATCACGAGTCCGTATATTGTGTTTTATTTAGAAATTGACCGGATGCTCTGTGCGTTTCCTTGTCTGACTTCCTGTCCGGGCTGTCATATTCTGTCCAGCTTGACGCGTGCCTGCATCGTACTCCGGGGAAAATAGACTCTCTGCGTATTTGAAACGGAGCAGAGCGTAGTGCCGTTGGTGGCACGCGCCACAGACAGACCACAGCGCGCCCTGTGTGAACACAATGATTGACTAGAGTGGCAGCTAAGTACAACATATTGCGCGGAGCTGACGGACCGCGGCGCGCACGGAGTATGTGTGAATTGGGGGTAACAGGGTGAAATGGAACGCAACATTATTGAAAGCAAAAACGTAACTTCCATGCAACCTTTCTTAAATCTAGAATGACATTTTTGGGGACGCAGATGGCCTAGCGGTTGGGTTATGCCCTATGCAAAACCTATGTTGTCTAAGCAGGCACCCCGAGTTAAAGTTCTGTGGCTCCATTCCTACGTCATTGCCCGCTCTCTCTCCCTGATTTCCTGCTCTATCTACTCTTCTATCAAATAAATGCATAAAAGTCCAAAAACCAATATTTAGAAAAAAAATGCAATTTTATGTTCATAATAAATCATTGTTTATTAGGCTATTTGATCACCAGAAAAAAATTCTAATGGTCTTTGTTTATCATCCAGTAAGTTGATGCTTTTTAGCCTCTGCTGATGGGCGCCTGCCGTCCACACGAGCTTATGTGTCTGTGATTATGTGCACATGACATGAAACATGTAGCTTGTGTGTACACCTGAGACTGGCACAGAATTTTTTTTAGGTATAGATGTACTTTACAGGACCAGCTGGTCACCGGTCATGACCAAACAGGATAAAAATCTCCTAAAACAGCCGGTCGATCGGTGCACCTTTATTTTGTCTATACAGTAAAAATCAATGAAACTGTTTTTAAAGCTACAGTCTGCTTTGGAAAATGGTCAGCAAAAATGTATTCTCTGTGTAAAGAAAGTGGGGTAAAACATACAAAAACACTGGCATGGCTGACATTGAAGTCTGTAAATGAGAATGGATAACGATGATGGGAATTGCACTAATCCAACTCAGGCATCTCACACACTGCCCACACACTGGAGTCAAAAAAAACAAAACATAATGCCAATTCACATTTTTTCTTGTACTACAAACTAAGAGTAATTTCAGATTTCAAAGTATATTTTCTCTCATGTCTTATTGCATGTTTTGTAACATTTTGTTTCAGATAAAGTCATGGCTTTTTATCAGCACCTGGCCCTGAGCAGTGATAAACTTTCAGTACTGCAAGTGGTAGAGTGATGGAAAAATGTGTCCTTGGATCTTTCTAAAAGCAGTACTACGGGGAAACAAAATTACATGTCTCCAAAATGCACCAGTAAAAACAGGACAAGTCCTTAAAAACATGTCACCTCTCTCATATTCCCCACAGCATAGTAAATATACAAAAGCTTCTAAATAACTTGACCATTTGTATAAGGGGCGGCTGTTGCTCAGTAGGTAGAGTCGTCGCCACTCAACCGGAAGGTCAAGGGTTCGATCCCCAGCTGGGTAACATGTCTGATGTGTCCTTGGGCAAGACACTAAACCCCGAATTTCTCCCGAATGGGATTAGTTACTTCTGATGGATGATACTACATAGCGATCACTACTATCAGTGTGTGAAAGGGTGTGAATGGGTAGGTGTGACATGCAGTGTAAAAGCACTCTGGGTAGTCGGAAGACTAGAAAAGCGCAATATAAACTCAAGTCCATTTACCATTTATTCACACGTCAAATATTATGACATTAAAATGTGTGGTAGAAGAATTGCTGAATAAACTTTGTTGTCAGTATTAACACAGTCTGTAACATCATTAAAATGTGTCCTTTTAATGCTGAATGGCATAAAATGCACTCACAGTACTCTGTCACAGGCCTTTCGACTAAAAAAAGCTTTTAGCCATTATGAAATCTAGGTTGTTACTTCCAGATTTGGATCCCCGTAGATTTAAATTAAGAATGAAATGCAAAAATAGGATGGTTTGAGGGCAAAGCATAACAACATCACAAATGCTCAACTCTGCAGCCTGACAAACCATTAATAAACATAAAATAGCTGACACTGCAGTATCAGTAAAAACAAAAGTAAATATGACTTCACAAAGTAATGTTGTTGTTTGTACAGCTCATGTGGGAGTACACTGAAGTTTAACCTTAGCAAAAAGTGTAGAAAACCAACGTGTAACATCTGAACGGGTTGCGCCGTAAAGCAAAATGAATTCAGTCATTCTTCAAATATTTGCTCAGACCTCTAAAAGGCCAGAAAGCTCAACTTCAAGGTCTCCCCTGTTATGTCAGTTTGGGGGTTGCCAAGGCAATAATAGAATACAAATCTTGATTAAACTGTATCTCTGGTATTTACAGACGTGCTGACTTATACACTAAATAAAACACAGATAGGCACAGTATGCAGCCCATTCCAAGCTAGGTTCAGAGTCCCTGCTTTATTTTTTGGCCCTGTGCTTTCACAGTGTACCTTTAGAACGTGTATTTGATTGCTGGGGCCCGACTGCAGCTTCGCTTCGGTCTTGTCTGAATAGACTGTAACTGAGTCTGAATAACACCAGTGTTGCTAGACTTTTCAGAGATGTTAGGGTTCATTGCTCCAGCTTTTTTCCCACATTTAGGCTGTTTTACAAACTCTACATCTGGGCTTTTTGATCCATACCTATTTTCTGGGTCATCATCATCTTCTGCCGCCCACGAGGGCTCAGACTGCTCCTCATCTCCTACAAAAACAAAATAAAAAAGTAGTGTTAGTTTTTCAGTAAAGGAAGTTATGTTGCTTCAGCAGTGTCCATTATCAAAGACCAGATAACAGGGAACTGCAAGCAGCATTATACTGATATACCACCAAGAGAAGCTACCTGGTATTTTATATCCCATTAGATATACACAAAATGCTTAGTCACAGAGTCACTTTTTTTTTTTAACTATGAAATGTAAATTTTACGCTGAACGCTTTTTCTTTGTCTGGCCGTCTGCTACCGCAAACACTTCTCATTGGGAACAATTGAAAAAAGCAGCTGGCACTCAGAAAAAAAACAAGAGTTTACACTGACCCTACTAATGCTCTATGACATTTCTAACATTAGAATGGATTTTTTAATTGTTACATTAATAGAAGAACTACCACATTAGCAAGTGATCTAAAAAAATCTTCCACAGCCAACATTTGGCCTGTATTTGGTCTGCAGACACGCTAATATTAGATCCTCCTTATGCTGTGATCACCCTCCTCTTTGTAAACTATTTACTCAGATTTGTTGATGCTTAGTTGTCATGTAGGACACACACTTCAACACAACTGATCCTTTATTAAGCGCAGTGGCTCCTGCTCAATACTCAATGAAGAGTTGGGCAAGATTGATGTCTGGCAGAATTTACTGAATATTATATGTTGTAAAAGGAGCACAAACTGATGAGCAATGTTGACAGCTAGATTTCGCAAATTTGGTCACGGGAGAATATGAGGTTGCAGCGACTTAGCGTTATTAAGGATAATGGTTAGTAACAGCTATCAAAGTCTAGTGAATTTAGTTTTCCAGTTATAATCAGGCAATCGATAGAACTATTCAGTTAGTGACAAATGTACTGTACGTTTTAACTGAAATACTCAATAATATTTTGCAGTCTCATAGGATGAGAAACTCACCTGAAGACTGATGGAATGCTGCTGCTCCCATTGAGGGCACATTCTCAGTGATGGGCTTCATCTTCTGATTGCTCCCATCACTCTCCGAGTCGTCATCTTGATCATCTTCACTGGATGAGGAAGACGAATCCATTGCTTCCTGAGGAGTTGAAGACTTTGACTTTGAAGCCTGTAACCTGCTCTGCTTTCTAGCCACCCCTTTGTCCTCTCGTTTGGCCAGGTGAGGCTTCCCTATTGGCCTCAGGGTATTCAAGTGCTTTACCTCCTTGTGTGTGCCTTGATCATCACTCGAGGAATCAGTCCCACTTTCCCTTCGAGATTTTACTCTTCGGTCATGTGAGTCAGGCTCGGGGGAACCCCGGTCCAGCATCTTGCGTTTGCGGCGCATTTTCTCAGGTGAGAGCGGAGTGTTCTTAGTGAGCCAAAAGAGACATTTCTTGGCCACCTTAGTTGACGCTTTCCCATCCTCATCACTCTGAGCATCATCAGAACTCTGTGATATGGCCGCTCGCTCAAGCAGGGCTGCAGGGACTTCGTCTGAGTCCGAGTCGTCTCTTTCTCTGCTTAGACTTTGTTTTTCTGGGTTTTTGGCTGGAACTGTGCTGGAGGTTTGCTCAGGGTCAGAGTCACTGTCACTATCAGCAGCAGAAAGAGACTGTTTTACCTTGACATCACTTTGTCTACGCAAAGGTGTTGTCTTCACACGAGGAGATCTTCTATTGCCTTGTTCCTCCTCTTGGTGTGGAGATGCATTGGAGTTGTCATTGCTAACTTTGCTGTCAGCTGTAGCCCCTACAACACCTGTCTCTTCATCCTCTGAGGCATTCTTTTCCTCTGACTTCTTATCTGTCATGCAGCTGCCCTTGTTCATCTCTGGGTTGTCATTGGATTGCTCTTGCTCCATAGGTACAGGTGTTAGTTTCACTACAAGTGTTTTAGTCATGTTGACCCCACTTTCAGAGGTATTCCCACCAATTTTTTGTGGCCTCTGTTTGGCTTCACGCAAGTCTTCCCCAGGACAGTTATGGGTGGTTAGTCCATCTGTGAAGCCCTTAGAGTCAGAGTCATCATCATCTAAATGTTCACCTGCCAATTTCTGCAAGACACCCAAGCATATTTTATCAGAGATGTCCAGCTCTGCTTCTGGTACAGCTTGGCTATTGCACTGCTCACTGAGGAACTTCTCCCAACAGCTAACAAGATTCAAGTCACTGAATTCCTCCTTAAGGCTTTCCTCGAGAGCTGTGAGGGATTTTCGCAAACCTTTATAAACTGACAAAAAAGAGTTTAGATACAGACTGCGAACTCCTGGGGTTTGTTTGCTCTTTGTAACAGAATTAATAAAATTGACAAATATGCGGTTTAATATGTTTGTTGAGTCAACTAAATGTTTGGCTTTTTTGGTTATCTCCTTCGATATCTGCAGTGTGTTGTAATTAAACACAACATTTCCGTCCATACCAGTGTGATCCCATTTATCAAGAGGAAGCTTTCGGGACAAGCCTGGCAACATGGCGTAAAGTCCAGATTTTTCCTGGCCTACTCGGCTCTTCTTGCGCTGCTGATGCAAAAGACTCTCCATGTTCTCCAGGACGTTGTCACAGGCTACCACTAGGTCAAAGAGGGGCTCCGGGTTGCACACATAGCAGTACCATTTACTTTCCAATATGCCCGAGAGTTCCTTTCTTCCCAAATTCCTTAGAATGCACTTCTTGCAAAAAGCATTGCTGCAGTAGTCGCAGCATATCAGGTTTCCTCCTTCAGCACACCATCTATTTGAGGAAAAATTAAGAGGTGATAAACGCGGTTTACAAGAGCTTAGTATAAAGGAAGTTATGGATAGGTCTATTTTTTAAGTTTTTACATTTTAAATACGACAAATCCTACCTGCATTGCTCATCCATTCCATCCCCGTCCTTACTGATGTCATCACTTAAGTAATACTTATAGCAAGACTGAAAAAAACAAAACAATCAATAGAGTTAGAGATAGTTTGAACTTTGATCTATTCATTCTTTACAGTTAAAATGATCTTCAATAAAAAAAAAATAAACGTAATCACAGAAAAGTTAAACTCAAGCATTTGAAATAACACAGATGTAATTGATCGTTTTTTTTTTTTTTTCAAACAGTTGAGTTGTTGACTGACAAACTGGACACAGTGTTTTCAATCTATTTAAATATAAACCAACAATAGAAATTCTCAGATGCTGATACCTGTATTGGAAATGCCTGTTACAGCCTAATGTAGAGCAGGTATCTGCGTGTTTACATCTGTGACCAAATGTCAATACAACACTCACCACCTTCTGCACAGCACCTTCACCAGACAGAGGAGTGTGTTCAGTGGCAGACTGCGGTCACAATCCTGTTCCACAGACAGACTCAAGAACTCTTTTGTCCCCCCAGCCATACGTCTGTACAACACCTCACGGTTATGGCAGGGGGAAAGCACACACTTGGACTAAATCTTCCTTTTTCCACTTCCCATCTGCACAGCTGTCCCAAGAGTCAGCCTCTAGTTGGACACTTTAATGAGCACCTCAATTACTTACATAGCACCTTTAATTTAATGTTTGCACTGCCTGTTATTTAATGTCTGTTTTTGATAACTCTGCACTAACTGCTTTTTTAAACATTGCTGTACAAATATAAACAACACAACTTCAGAAGGTCAACACTTTTTTATTTTTTTATATTCAGGTCTAATTACAGATTTTTTCCCTCAACTGTTTATAGGTTCTTGCTTTAAATTACACATTTTTATCCCTGCACGGGTTATGTACATTTCTTGTATAAATCTATTTTTAATTGGACAGTTTAAGTTTGTTTCATCAAGGGGTATTCTTTAAATCTTTTTTCGGATTAATATATATATGTATGGGAGGGGGGCATCAGTTTTGCTGCTTATTTTTGCGGCTTAATTTGTAACAAATGTTTCATGTCATGTACGTCTTGTAACCTGCTACTGGATGCTTTGAATTTCTCTTGGGATCAATAAAGTATCTATCTATCATCTATCTATCTACAAATTCATGTTTCAACGGGTGAAGTATCCCTTTAATCACACAGAGCTAACAGAACTGAAAAAGAGAGTAGTGATGTCAGAATCATGTCACATTATGAGCTGCTCCATAGAGAATGTATGTAGACTCCGCCATTAAAGAAGGTAATCTCATGTAAGCTATATATTTTAAAAAGAGAATGCATCAAATGTCTTCTGGTTTTTTACTTTTTGAAGAGATTTGCATGCTGATAAAGACAGGGGTCATAGGACATTTTAAAATACCTCTGAGCAACCCTATGAATTTGGAGGATTACTATAACACTCACCTTACAAATGAGTACTTTAAGAACTGGGTGGCGATAGATGCAGTCCTTCTGGAAGTGGTTCACTTGTCTGCCACATGCAGTGCAACTGACAATTTCCATGTGTTCACTTCCTGAGAAAGAACACCACTGGGATTAGCAACACAAAGGTTATAAATGGGGTTTCTTAAACACTATGAGACTACATTGTTCAGCCTAGACCTAAATTCAACATAGTCTACAGGTCAAGTCTCTAGTCTCAAGTCTCAAGCAACACTAGTGGTTAGGACCAAAATGTGCCAAGGCCGGTGTGGAGTGGGAATGCTGCAGAGGCGACTAGAGCATAAAAAAAAAACTTTTGCCTGAACTTTCTATACACATAAAATACATGACAGTGGAACTCCCCATAAAAGCCTTATTTATTTTAGACACTGTTTTTATGACTGTCCTCCATCAGATGTGCACTGACAAAAAAAAAATCATTAAATTATTAAATTCTTTGAAATTCTCTACAGCATCAGAGAAGTGGTCGTAAACTGCCCTACTGTTTATTGAACTTGACCGCTACTTTTCACTGTTTACACTTTCTATTTTAGGAGGGGTTTTTTGGACTATAGTGCCTTTTACTATTGTTCTTATGATGTGCTTTTAATGCCGTCATTACAGTTGTAATTCCTGTGTTTTTATCTGTCCTGCCACTGACAAGAGCTTCTTAACAAATTGTAGTTTTATTGCTTTGACAATTAAGATCTATTCTATTCTATTAAGCCTTCATGTCTCTTTGCCTTGTATCCCAAGTTGCTTCAGTTGTTGAATTAATACATGTCACCACTGTCACATTCCCTTACCTTTAGGACATGGCTTTGTGAGTAATCTTGAATTAATGTTCGGTCTTATCATTAGCAGTAACTGACCTCCACGTCTTCTTGAAAACTCTTTCCTCAGAACACCTGGTTTGCGGCTGCGGAACTCTGGACCCCTGAAGTCGTCTTTTCCATTCTCAACAGCTTCAGGCCTCACCAGCACAGTGCCTGTGATGTAAAAAGACATAGTTCCAATAAATCAAGCTATTCTGTCATCACCAAATATGTTTGTCAATCATAACGTTGTCTAAGGCTCTGTCAACCTCTAATCCCTTAGAGTATACAAAAAGAATACAGAAATTATACAGACTGATGATTTAGTCTTGTATTCAGCACTTGTGAATTTCAAATGTTCTTGACCAAAGTGACCTCAATATATCCACTGAAACACATATTTAGACCGTGACATAACACAATGGACAGTTCACTGTTGCATATTGGCATATAGGCTAGGTGTAAGAGTATTAAAGGGACGCACATTTGGCAACATTAAGACTTACCTTTGGGCAATCTAGTGATATCAAGGTGACCATTTGTGTTGACCGGTAACTCCACATCCTCACTGGCCTCTGAGTCCCCAGATTCATCCAGTCCAGAGTGCTTTATGACAACAGATGGTTTTCTGTAATAAACATAAATATTTTAAGTCCCAGAGTTTTTGTTGGCAGCTTCTTTGGAATACGAAAAAAAAAAGATGCACACAGTAACCAAAGTGTTTTAGTATCATCAAGTATAAAATAGGGCGCACTCACACTATGCAAAGTGGTCCCATAAGCACTATTGTCCCCCCCCCCTCCTCATTCTCCCGCTGGCCGGCCCTCACACTGCTCCAGGACTAACCAGGCCTGAGCACGGTTACCTCTTTTACATAACATCGTAATACAACACTCGTATGGCATTACATAATTATGAAGCACACTTTGTTTACGAGACAGGCGTACACCGAAAAATAAATAAATGAATAAAGGGGACGCGCTGTCGAGTACGCCTCTGCACATCGGCGAACAGATACAGACTTGAAACTTAAAAACATTTCTTGATAATGAAGCAGTGTTTCCCCTAGGTTTACAACGTTGGGGGTGTGGGGACAAGCCGACACGGCGACACAAACACTTGAAGGAATCTTGGTGTTCATGTGTTACTTTTAATGACAGCTGTCCTGTTCTATCGGAGAGGTATCCTTAAATGACTTCTTTCCCTGATTTTCGACTCTATCCTATCTCTTCAATAAAAGGCACAAAAAGCCCAGAAATAAATCTTTAAAAAAAAAAAATAATAATAATAATATATACTTTTTTTAACTTGACCTTAAGGGGGACTGGGTCGGGCCTCCCCAATATAATGGTAGGGGAAACACTGATGAAGGCTGTCCAAGCTGTGTACCCGTGCTTATGCTCGTGCATGAACTATGCCATGCCAAAGCACACCTCTTCCAATTGGCCAGGGCCAAGGAAGTGTACCGTGCTTGAGCACTCACACTAGTCAAACGAACTGACATTTAGAGTGAAGCGTGCTTAAGCATGGTACTGATTGCCTAGCGTGAGTGCGCCCTTATATGCAGTGCAAAAATAATCCTGATTTACTTTGGTTTGATCACTATGGGATGCATCATAGCAACAAAAAAATATTACACATAAAGTACTTTCAGCAATGAACAAGAAAACACTGGCAAGTTTATTGCCACAGAGCTTTTTCTAGGTTTGGGGAAAGAATGAAAGGCCAACTCACCTCCTCGATATTCTGGTGTCCATTCCTGCCTAAAAGTCAAGGCAGTTTATTAGTGAAGCCTTCATTAGCAGTTTCACTACTGGTGTTAAATACTTCACAGTAAAGTCTATTGTGGGTCTATGCATGTCCTGTAGATTATGTTTTCTTCATGCACATTTTTTTGTTTGCTTTTTTTTTTTTTTTTTTACAGGTAAGTGTTGAAAGCAACATTTTTGAATTTCCATCAAACATTTTAGTTTACTACAAAACATTTTTTTTAAAGCAGAAGGGGGAACTAGTTGTGTAGAAATTAAACAAAGACTACCACTTTCCAATTATTATAATTATTTTAGGGATCCAGTTTTGAAAATGTTGTGTGGGACATTAGTGCCCAGGCCCTATAACTAAGATTTTGATTTAACAGCCAAGCTGATTGGTAGATGAAAAAATATTTTTTCCCATTCAAAAATATAAATAACATTTTAAGCACCATACATTTTTAACTGCATTCTTGTCGATTCTTCAGCACCAATTTGTGCCTTTTCTGCGCAACATTATTAGATTAGATTAACTTTATTGTCCCCAGGGGGAAATTTGTCTTGGGTAAAAGTGCAGAGAAAACACACAACTCTGTCCAACTTACGATAACAAGCATAACAAAAGACTAGACAGCCATAAAAACACATTAAGTAACGCATAAAAACACAATAATAATAATAAAAAATAACATTCAATACAAATGTCTTGTTTTTGTTTGAAGAGAGGTTAGGACAATTTAAATGATAGACACATTTGCACCTACTTTGGATGCACTGAACGTGTGCGCTGATATGCTACACAGAAATAGTTGTCAACATAAAGACCTCCTTGAGTGCACCGATTTCCAATGCAAATCCATGTGCACAGTTCAAGAAACAGTGTTCATTGCAAATCTGTAAGCATAGATAAATTTTAAAAAAAATGTATCTGAGCCTTCGGGGGCTCCGTGCAACACGAGAGATGTTACTATCTTTAAGTTACTGATTGTTGAAGTCCAACCATAATACATGTTGGTGTGCATCAGTGCACCCCAGACACACAGACAGCAGAGGAGCAGGAGAGAAGCTGCAGCTACACTTAACGCACCTAAAACTCATTAAGGTTTTATACATGACTATTTGGGTGGATAGCCCTCTTAAATTCCCTCCCCCCCAAAAAATTGAAAAACTACCCACAATTTGGCACTTGGTCGGTGTTAATTTGTTAGCGTTCGAAAATGAAAACTGATCCAAACATCAGGGATGTTCACTTACCTCTGTCTCCGTTTGACTTATTGGGTTTCCCATAAAACAGCTCTTGTTTGGCAAACCTGTTTCAGAGAGGATAAGTTAAATAGAATTGTAAAGCATGATCATTATAATCTTTCCACCACTGTAATCATTGAACAACTGTACCGTCAACATCCTGTGAGTTTGGAGTGCCATTGGTGCCCTCAACAGGGGATTGGGCCAAGTATTCGTGCAGTTTGTTGACCAACACATTCAGCTTGCTGGTCGTGGTGCTAGTGTCAAGAAAAAAAGAAGAAAGAAAAAATCATGTTTATGATAACTTTACAAAAAAAGGTTGTTAAGAATTGTTTAATCAAATCAGTTTTTATACTTCTGCTTCACATACTTTGTTTCAGTGACATTTGAAGAGGATAACTACTAATGCATCTCATAATGATGTGTTATACATTTTACAGACCCTCAAACAGTCAAATGGCATTACTTTTAAATAATAATAATAATAATATAACAACTATTACAACTCTCGAAATCTCTGATTATTTTCCTTTTTATGAATGGGGATGAAGGCTGAGACTGAAGTACAAAAACTTATTTGATAATGTCAAATTAAATGTATTTAATTTCAACTGTATGCTCGAAATTGAATTTAAAGTTGAATATTTTCATGGAGTTTTTTTTTTTCTCAGAGCATAATGAGAAAAAACTTTGTTGTCTCATTGTTTATTTCTCATGCCTGACCCTAATCAGTTTTGTGTACTCCGTAGTACTGCTTTGCTTTTAGTTAGGTGATATATTTGGTTTAAAAAAATAATAATAATGTATTTTTTTGCGAGCTCATATAACACTAAGCAAACCCGCAACATCACCCAAACAACAGCTGCTATCATCACCTGTGATACGTCATGTTTCCTGCTGTGTTGGCTGTGTAACACACGCTTATAATAACTGTATCTGACACAATTAGAGTTGTCGTTTTCGCTTTAGTTAACTGTTAGCTCACACGGCTAGCCACTTGCTAAGCTATCTCTTCTTCATGGTTTCTAGTGAACGACAGAATTTCAGAGCGCAATTTATACCTGAGCATCGTCGCTGACAGATCGTCTAGCAGGCGAACAACCGAAATCGTCGAAGTTCTCACTCTCTCATGAATTTATTCAGGTAGAAACATGACGCCTCAAATTTCGTCTCGCACCCCAACACAAGCTTTGAAGCAGCGCCGTAGAAGACAAGCTAACAACAACCAGTGAATGACTTCTTCTTCTTCTTCTTTTGGGTTGATTGGAAAACAGTACATTACCGCCACCTACCGGACTGGAGTGTGGCAGAAACTATAGGCAGTAATAAAAACAACAAAAATTATATTATCTCTATTATTTTAGTTTCTTTTTAAAATATCTTTAATTTATTGTTTATTTTACAAGACCCAGTTCCCATCATATTTAATACAGTGTTGATTTCTAATTGTTTTATTTTTTTTTCCTTAACCTCCTCTTCTCACCCTCATAAAAACTGCATCCATGAAAACATGCTTTGCTGATTCTGGCTGATCACAGTGGGTACATAAACCGGTTGTGTGTCTGCCTATTATGTGTATTGTTGAGTCCTGTGTGTCCAACTAGGAGCCGGGTAGTCACTGCCTCTTCCCTTGGGTTCCTGCACCAACTTGTTTTTGAATGTTAATAGAGACGTCGCCTATCACCTAAATCCTCTGCCTTGCTTACTTTTATCTGTAATTTGACTGTTTTTGTATGCAATATGTCTGCACCCTCTGTAATTTCCTCCTACTCCTGCACAGTGACTTCTTTGTTGTTTTCTGCTTTATGGCCACTGGCACTCAGCTTTCAGGTTCATTGCCGCCACCAACTGAGTTGGAGTTTGGATCAGAGTTGTTAAAGCTCCTCCTTTCCAGATTTCCATATAACTGTTTTAAAGTGTTCTCTCTTTCTCTGGATAATTTCTGGTATTGTAAAAGGACATGCAGGTCTACCAATCCCTCTGCATTGTTAGTATTATACTGTGGGGTGTTTGTTTAATGAATACAGTGTTTTATTGAGACTTGTGACCACCTCTAAGCCTTGTTATAATATCTTCCTCTGCACTCCTGTTTGTTGCCCTATACCCACTTTAAAGTTTCATTTATAAAGGTGGTGCCTGTTACCAAATTTGCGACCATTCTTTTATAATGTCTTTTGAGGATTCCTTTTAGCTTAAGTGCCATATCCATAATGTTATCCTGTGTGTTTTAGGCCCAATTTTGCTATAGTTTATCTGCATGTTCATGAATTCCCTTTATCCCTCTGTGC